CGACGAAGAGGATGAGGAGTAGGTATTAGACCTATTTCTGACTGGGCTTGAGCCCCTCTAGACCTTGCAGTAGTGTTTAGATGCAGCTTCAGTAGCTAACTCTTGACTAGAATTTGAGGCCTGCAAATGCAGCCGTGATAGAATCTTCCATGATGTACTTCAATTCTTAAGATTGTATCGATTACATCGTAGCAAAAAGGTGGGGGGTGTTATATAAAATTCAAGGTAAAAAAAGCGGGTGCTCTCCTACATGCACCCTATCATAAGCTCTACCCCGCATAAACCACCCACGGATTGACTATTCCGGCGGGTGTTATATACGGGGGAATACGGTATATCTATTACCCTGAGTGGCCTTGTGGCCCATCCCAGTGGCTGGACTAGTATTGCCGCCCTGGTTTTTGCTCTTGCCTTGGTCTGTACTCATTTGACTGGTCTTTAGACCCTTGCCTCAGAGGCTGGACTAGTAGTGCCGCCCTGAGCTGCTTGTTCTCTTATTAGGCACTGCCCCTATATAGTCTAGGGGGTGTGCAAAACATAACTTAGTATGTTATTGTAGACTGTATAGGTTTGTGCCTTAGAGGGTACAACACACTAGCCTATATACCCTTGTACTCTCTCATTCTAGTTCATTCTTGCATTATAACACTTTCTTACCGGCGGGTCCATTATCCGGAGGAATACGGTATTTTAACAGCAAGGCCTTCGTCGAGATTAACGACGGGGAAATCCAGCAAGTGCGCAGATTCAACGGCTCCATCCAAGCTGTTCAAGGACACGGTACGATCCAGGCCCCCAGAAGTCAGGAAAATTTTCCTGGTTCAGGAAAAAAACAGGGTGTTGAGTGGTACCAGATCTGATTTGCTGGGGTTTTTTTGGGGGCATTTCCTAAATTTTCAGGGTTCTTTTGTAAAGGATATCTGTCAGGTCAGTTTTTTTTTGTAATGGATCCTGAAATTTCAGACTTGTATCGAGCATGGGTTCTGATTTTGTCAAAGGCGTGATTTGCGGGTCCCCCCCAGAATTACACCGATATGCGCATATTCCCCCACAAAGCTGGCCTGACTGCCAGGTTCCCACCTGCAGACATCGTTTGCTGAGTCACATGTTGCCGCGCTGCCTCACGGCATTGGTCCTTCTCAAAGTGTCGGCCAGCACACAGCTTGGCTGCATGCGTGGATTGGTTGCCTTTGTAAATGCTGCCTGAATAGACAATCACGTGTATGCCAGCGATGATGACCCAGCATCAACACCACACTCTGGTTCGACGCCGACGCGCATGCGCCGCGCTAGTTTCGGTCCAGATTCAGGAATACAGGAAGACAACTGTGCGTGGCTGGCAAAGTGTTCGTGCCTCGCCATCGTTCCCTTTTCCCCCTGCGTCTTCTTCATCTGCTTCTTCCCACGGTAGAAACAGCCACTGCATTAGCCTCTCCCAGCGCGACCTTCCCCTCGCAGTGTTGTTGTTTTACAACCACTCTGTCGCGTGTCTCTGCTCGTCGACCACCCTAGTGAGCCCCGTCCACATGCCTGAGTCAGGCGACGTGGAATTGGACAACGATGGCGACGACAGCGGCAGTCACCGTGCCGAAGCCCGCACTGGGCTTGACATGCTCCTTTCGATGCTAGGTAGTTTTCCAAAGACTCCTCGTAACCCTCCGACGGAACAGAACCACCTATGCGCCTCGCAGTCGGTCGCCTCAACTTCTCAAGGTATTGTAGAGCCGACTTCCGTGCCTATTCCAAGCCCATCCCATGCTAATGCTTTTACCTGTAGTCCACGTTCTGCCATCCTCGAGTAACCTGGCGGTCGATACCGGCAATCCACCCTGTGGAATTTCCCACGCGGTCAGCCGACGACGCCCCGCCCCTCAGCCATGTGCGAAGATGACGACAGCAATGGCGACGACACTACCGCTGCACCCGACAAGTTTCGATCGCCTGAGGATGTCTACGGCGAAGCCCTCAGCACGTTTAATACGCGGTGGTTCGAGCGGTTTCCCTGGCTTATGATCGTTAAGACTGACGCTGGATTCCCTGCGTTTAAATGCAGTCTGTGCCTTGAGCATGCAGGACTCAGGGAAAGCCGGCAAACGCGACGCAGGGCTGACGGACGTGCAGTCGCAGGCATTCAACAGGCACGCGGGGTCGGCCAAGCATCGGGGAGGGTGACGCTGTGGGGGACAAGAACGCATGTAGGGTGGGCGACGATGAGAACACGTACAGGGTGGGTGACGATGAGAACATATTCGGGGTGGGCAACGATGCGGGCGACGAGAAAGTGTACAGTGAGTGTGATGATGCAGATGAGGATCCGAGCAGTGAGGATGGCAATGATGTGGACTACGATGAGGCCAGCGATGATGCCGCTGACACAAGTGACGGAAAGGATGACGCTGCTGACAACGACGGCAACTTCGATGCAATGGTTGCGTCAGCGAGGCGCGCGGCGGGTCGAATAAGCTGACCTCGACGCGGACGAGATGAAAAGCGTCGAGTGCGATGCCGCAAATGACGGCAAGCGGGTCCATGCCCTCCAAATCTCAGGTGGGGTGGTTCTTGTGGATGCGCAGGAAGTCCACCGCTGGCATCGCTGCGCTCTCGAACTGCAGGCACGAGATGCAGACTGCCAACGCCTCCAACTCCGGTTCGGTGTCGATAGGTTCACGCATCAGCGATTCATCGGGCTGGGGGACGGGCATCCAACTCGCGGGGAGGATGCGAGTGTGCCACCAGCACCGCTCCATTGTGTTCTGGTTGATGCTGTACCACGCGTTGTGGATCCAGAGGATGAGTTGCGTCATTTTGGGCTTGAAGCGCTGAAGCTCTCTTGGGCAGTCATTCGCCTCCCACAGCTGCGCGAGCATCGCGAGATACGCGACACGGTAACGGGCCTTAGTCGTGGCAATTATGCCCTGGTCCAGTGGCTGGATAAAGCAAGTCGTGTTCGGTAATAGGCAGACGATGCGCAGGTTACTAAGCTTCCGAGTCTAAAAACCGAGGATGTCCTTCGTGATCGCGAGGGTGTCGAGGCGATGGCTCGACACGTTATCGACGAGGAGGACGATCGATCTTCCCTCGGCGAACATTGCAGCATTGAGAGATTCCATGTACGCTGTGAAAACCTACATAAGGGTAAAAAAAAAAGGCCATGTTGTTACTTCGACTATAGTGAAAATCTTAAATAAACGGCAGCGGGAAGATAAACGACTGTGTTATGAAACGACGAGTGCAAATTAGGAGCAGACACAAATGTAGAGGAGGTTGCGCAGGGAATGGAAGGTCAAGAGGGGCGATACGAAGGCGTGTTTACCTTGCTGGTCATTCAACCCTTCTGGTTGTAACGCCAGTGCACCCACGTCTCAGGTTCGAAATTGGTTTCGTTGAAGTCGCGAGGGCAGCGAACCTTGGAAATTATCATTGGCTTCAGCATCGACGATCCGTCGGTGTTACATGTGAAGACGACTGTAATCCGGTCCTTTGCAGCCTTGCACCCGACCGCCGTGTCGTCAGCCCACGTTTTCCTCGGCTGGAACGCGATGAACAGTGCCGTCTCGTCGAGGTTGAACAGGCCCTTCAAATGCACGCCAAGAAGGAGCATCAGCTCGGGGAGCTTCACGCGGGCCCAGTTGACGGCACCCATGTCAGCATCTGCTGCTTCACCCTTGCGTGTCAGATTTTTTAAGCCCATGCGATCCAATGCTTGTGGACCCAGGACAGCGAACATTTGAAACTGCCCAGAAGGCCAAGAATTCGCGAGAGCTGTTTGGCCTTGATTTGAATAAGCGCCAACGTTAGCGGAATACCTGCAGAGCTGGTATTCTTGATCCATGTCTCGAGCTCAGCCTCGAGTGAAGGATACTGCCCGGGGCGAACACGAATGTTCCTCTACTGTATTGGCGCTGCCGCCCATTTTGCCTCGTGCTTCAAAATATTTTCAACAGTGCTCCGGTCGGGCAGCAATTCGTAACGAGTGAAGCACCATGACACGAGGTCGTCAAGGCAAAGATGCGGGTTCGCATTTGCATGCTTGCAAATGACGCGCTTGGTGACAATCAGAACTTGCAAATGAATGCGAGGCATTGTGACAGGTTGAGAACGCGCTAGGAAATGGTTACGGGTGCGGAGAGCAACAGGGGGGTCAGGGCAGGTGAGCGTACCGTCAATGTGGACGGCCAGGGAGTGGCCGTCCTGCCGCTGACCAGTGAGGTGGCGGCGGAGGTCGACAAGCCATGAGTCAAACTCAACCGGCTGACCCTCTGCGTCAAAGCGCAGCACCGAGTCCGTTATGAAGGTCACTACAGCCACGAACAGGTGGTGAAGGGCGGGATGGAGCGACGAGGAGCAGTGGGGAGGAGTGTTGTACGGTGCAGTGCGGTGGGGCGCGGCTCAGTGCAGTGCTGAGCGGTGCAGCACGGTGGGGCTGCGGAGCAGCGGGGCGATGGGGCCGCGATGCGGCTGGGCGACGGGGCCGCGGAGCAGCGGGGAGACGAGGCCACGGGGCGGCTGGACGACGAGGCCGTAGGGCGGCTGGGCGACGGGGGCACGGGGCGGCTAGACGACGGGGCGGCTAGGTCACGGGGGGGCTAGGCGATGGGGCGGCTAGGCGACAGGGCGGCAGGGAGGCTGCGCTAGGGGCGACGCGACCGCGGGGCCAGCAGGACGGCTAGGCGCAGGTGACGGGGCTGCGAGGCCAGCGGGGCGGCTAGGCGCTAGGTGATGGGGCCGCGGGGCCAGCGGGGTGGCTGGGCGCTAGGTGGCGGGGCAACGGGGCAACGGGCGGCTAGGCGCTTAGTGACGGGGCCGCAGGGCCAGCGGGGTGGCTAGGTGCTAGGGAACGGGGCCGTGGGGCCAGTGGGGCGGCTAGGCGGTAGGCGACGGGGCAGGCTAGGACCTATGGCGAAAGCGCGGGTGGGTGGGGGGACCTAACCTGCTCTAATACCATCTCAGAGTTAGATTTGTGTAGTAGAATGAGTATACAAGGGTATATAGCTAGTGAGTTGTACTCTCTACAGCATGACCCTTTATAGTCTACTAAACATACACACATATCTTTTATACGAATGCAAAAACGCCTGGCAGGGGTTCCGCTAGCACATGTCTCCTGGAATGTTGGAATGCGAACCAATCAGAGCCCGCGACTGTGACCATTTCCTCACGAATTTAGGCTGGGTTTTTGGCATAGCTCTCCCTTATCAACTGGAGCTCCGCCTCCAAACTTCCTACACCAGCAGAAGCATCCTTCATCTTTTGCACCTGGGCATCCACCTTAATGGCAGCGCTGAGCTTGTCTTTCCCAGCCACCTCCTCCCTTACGGCCTGCAGATGATTTGCAATGTGAGCCATGTTTGGGCGGCTTGCAGTGCGCTCCACGGTGCAGCTGACTGCTAGCTGAGCCACGCGAACCACGGCATCGTCAGGGGCGTCCATGTCAGGGTCCTTGAGTTTCGCTGTGGTGCCGGATGTCAGACACTCCTCCACCTGAGGAAATGCAAGAGGTTGGTAAACGAGAAAGTAGAAATGAATTGGATAGGCACAACATAAGGGAGACTATTACGAGACTTCAACCCCGTTCTGAGAAGAACGAGCAACTTCCTCCTAGGGGCCTTCAGCCGGGCATATACAACTCAACGCCTGCTATGGCACCCATGGCTCCAGTTCAACATAGCACCTGGCTATAGTACATACCCATGATAGAAGTGTCCTGCCTTCGCCATCAGAATACAAAAGTGCAGGGCGTCTAGTGAGAACCACAAGCATGAGCACACCGAAGCTGCACAAGTGAGAGATCCCAAGAGAAACGAGAGTGTAGTATGATAATGTTAGTGAGTTTGACGTGCCGCAATAGAATATGAAGACGGAAACATGATGAATTAATGACCTTTGAGATGTGCCAGGCCATCAGCTCACTAGCCTCGACACCAAAGTTCTCTAGCATTTTTCATCACTGCAAATGTCTCACACAAATTTTCAGGTCACCTGTAGACATCGCTGGTAGTGGTTGCCTTATACGTCTTGGTATAAACTGGATCCACATAACCTGGCGTTCCCATGATTCGAGTAGTGCCCACTGTGGTGCCCTCTCCCACCCGCACTAGCCCAAAGTCAGCAACCTTGGCCTGGTGAGTGGAAGGGTAATTGTAGTGAGCGCAGAGGAAAAAGAAATGGAGACGTGAGAGTTGTGAGGAAGACCTAATGTAAGTTGCTGTATATACCATGTGGCCTACAGAATGGATGAAGGCACTGTACCATCCTGTAAGTATACTCAATATTGAAGTAGCGTATGATAGATTACAACGCCCTATTGTGTATTCCACTGCGTTGCAGAGAGTGCATGAGACTCCAGGAAGCTGGTTCCTTGCTCCCTTCAGCAGCATTTTCAGCTGATCGTGTCTCACCTGCAGTGCACTACTGTATTGGAGTGGCCTTATGTAGATTGTTGTGTTACTCTGTCTGTCTGCTTAATGCCATTTACAGGATGCTGCTAACGATGCATTGATATGCCATATTCGTGTTAACGACCATAGTTATTTGGTGGGTGGGATAGTGCTTTTGAAAACAAGAACTTGGGGAACAAAAGATGGATTTGGACTACAAAATGTTGTTAGCCTGTGCTTTTCAGCTTCGTCCTCCTTTGTACCGTGAAAACCATCTTAACACACATTCCCTCTTCTGTATATTCATTGTGGTTCTGCTTGTGTGCTTCCCCGAATTCCTCAACTCCTTACTCCTATAATTGCAAACCTGCCCCCCCCCACCCCCCCCCGTAAAAGTGATTCCTTTCCATCAAGGGACTACAATCTTGTACTTCCCAAGCACATCCCCACCGCTTTGTTATTCTATGCTGCTCCCCCTTTCGCAAAGGTCGTAGTGACGAAAGCCTTTCCTAAAGGTTGGTTTGACCATTACACCTTACACTATACTATTTAAAAAAAAAACTCACACCTAGATTTTTCAGAAAGGGTGCTATTGTTACTGTATAAGCTTGCCTGCATGTCATCTCCAATGAGGATGTTGGCGGGTTTGATGTCGCGATGCACAATGTCAAAGCTGTGGAGGTACTCAAAGCCACGTGCAACACCAATGAGGATGTCCAGCCGCTGCTTCAGGCTGAGAGGGCCGGATGCCTCTGCAAAAATCCACATTGAGCATCTTTCATGCAAGAGACTTATACACAAAGAGCTGTTTCAAGATCGGATACACATTATGGAAATGCAGAAAAAAAACAATTGTCACCGTACTTGGATCCATCCACTTCTCAAGGTCGCCGTTGGACACAAACTCGTAGATGAGGACTTGCTCTGGCCGTGTCTGCATGTCCCCTCCAACGGCAAACCCGAGCAGGCGCACAATGTTGGGATGGTTCTTGTCGGCCATGTTTTGGACCTGAAGGGATAAAAATAGAGCACAGAGGAACGGGACATGGGCCAAAGCGCACGGCGGCTAGTAACGCAGGTATGAGGACTCCAAGGGTCGGGCAAACAAGTTTTGTGAGTCGTATGGAATGTAGCGGACAGAACCTGATGTTCCCAAACAATGCGGAAACTCACAGTCCTGTTATCCCAAATGCCTAAATTGTGTGTCCCACCTCCTTTTGGAAGTCAGCATTCATCCATCTGGCTCGCTTCACAGCCCACACTGTGGTGCCATCGCGGGGAGACACGCCCTTGTAGACATCACCAAAGGCACCCGAGCCAAGCTGATTCTCGTTGGACCAACTATTGGTGGCCTTGAGGACTTCAGCCAGAGAGAACTCGGTGCAGTGGGAGGCTGCTAGGCTGGTAGTAGTGAGGCCTGCCCACGGGGTGGGGGTGGGGGGTGAAATGAAAGGGGTACACGCAGAGAAAAACTTGCTCCTTGCTTGTCAGTATGCTGCGAAGAACATCAAAACGAACATGTAAATCTTGAAGGTGTGTGAGCATACATTTAGCAACTGCTTCATCTTCGTACCTTTTGGCTTCTGCTGCTTCTTGTGCCTGAAGTAGAGCAGTACAGCAACCAAAAGAAGGAGAATTACCACAGCAGCAACAGCAATGCCGATGATGACCCCCACCGATACACCTCCTCCTCCAGATGCTGCTGCTGGTGAAGAAGACTCGCTGCTGTTGGGGCTGGTGGTGTTTGATTCTACACGAGCATAGTACAATGCAGTGGGGATTTCAGCGATTTGATCGCTACCAGATGTTTGAAAATAGTGGGGAGGAACAGACAAGAGGAGCACAACCCATAGCAGTCCGCCAAACAGTCAAGTTCGCTCTAGAAACAACCTGTACTACTTCGCATGCTGTTCCAAATGCACATCTTTTGGCTCTTTAAAGCAATTGCTACTACGAGACGTATTTAATAGCAAAGAAAGAAAGGCGCACCAGTGGCACATGTGGAGCCGTTGCCGAAGTCGATGGCAGAGTACCCGCCGTCACACTGGCACGTGAAGTTGGACGTGGAGGTAGGTGCAGACGGCACACACGCCCCATGGCCGTCACATGGGCCATTCTCAGTGATGCTGCAGAACGCATGGCAGGCTGCCGCACTGCGCTGGGTGGCGTTGGACACACAGTTCGCATCCGGGCTGAGGGTCAGGCAGTTGCCCAACAGACTCACTCTCGCCCCTGCCACCGAGCTATTGCTGCACGTCCCTGCAAACGAGTCAAACATGTTTCCCAGGTCCAGGCTGTTCGGCTCGGTGATCTCCATGGGGCAGACCTGGTAGCCCGCAGCAAAGAGCACGGCATCGCCGTAGAAGTAGTTGTGAGCCAAGTTGATGAGGACGTTCTCCGCCGCCATGTTCTTGAAGTTGTGGTTGATGCGCCCATACAGGCTGTTGTTGCTCACATCACTGGGGGGAGCCCAGGGGGTCGGACAGAGTGCAACAATGGTACTTCAATTCCCAACAAGGGGGGGTGAATCCACCTTAGCGTTACCACCATATAGAATGGCTGTCTCTTGTCACGCAGGCCATGAGCATGTGAGCAGTGCATGCAAGCTTGTGACCTTAGCTGGGATGGATGACTTACATTTGTTTGACACACTTGTTGAAGAGGCACTCAGGCAAGGGCCCGTAGAGGTGGTTGTTGCTCACCATGCTGCCATGTCATCCCAACGCACGCACCATGCAGCACCGTGAGTCACACCCCCCAGGCACGCATAGGTAAGGAGTTACGTGCACCATGAGGCTAGTTTCCAGACATCATTTTGCTGCATCTCTTGAAATAATCCATGGAGTATGTACATCGCAGCCACTCAGATGCACCCCAACCACTCCCATGCACCACAGCCACAACCAAAAGGCAGAACCACTATTCGGCTCGACCAAGACTTGCACATGGAAACAGTGGGGCACAGCTCTGCCCAATGAAGACGCCCGCATGAGAACGCGCTACTGAAAGTAGTTGACAACAGTTCAAGACAACAAGACATAATTTTCGACACTTGCGGACCAAGTCGATGACTTGAGCGAGGTGGATGGAGCGGCTCGATAGATACCTTGTGCAACTAACGTACAAGATGCAGTACAAACTCCGGCCACAGGCATAGTCATAGCCACGTGCACTCCAACAACTCCCATGCGTCACAGCCACTCACATATGCCCCAGTACTCACACATGCCACATCAGCTCACATGCACCATAGGCACTCACATGCGCCACAGCAAGGGCAGCAAGCAGATGGCGGATGGCAGAGGGCCCTCAATGCTGTTGTTGTCCAGCCAGCTGTGGGTGCCAGGCAGAGCAAAAGCAGGAGGCACTTGTTAGATTATATTGCCCTATTCTATTATCCCACATAGATCATTGGTCGTGGATAGTTCTAAGCATTATTGTGCAATCATTGTAGTTAGGGGTTGGGTCCCCAATTTGGTTGGATTCACATTCCAAAATCTTGGTCATTATTGGCCCTCAAAAGTTGGGCCACTCAATTATTGAGACCCCCAAGATTCCCAGGCAAGAATATTGGACCCTCCAAAAATCTTGGCCAGGAATATTGGACCCTTCAATAAATTTTGCCAACCCAACCCTCGGGGAGGCCAATAATCTTGACCAAGCTCCCAACCAGCCCCCCTCTTCCGAGTCCTTAACTATGTAAGCCCTCTCCACTCTAATCAAAGCATCAACTTGATCTCTCACAGCAGGAAGGGGCAGAAGCAGGGGCAAAGGCCGGGGTATGAGGGAAGGGGCAGGATCAGGGGCAGAACCAGGGGTGTGAGGAGCTGCAGGGTGCAGTGAGGCTGTAATCAATACAAGCACCGTTCGAAAGAGAGGCAAGAGAAACGGGGGGAGAAGGGGAAGGAATAGGGGGAGAAAGAAAGAGGGAGGTGCCGGCAGTAATGGCAGGAAGAGGGGGCAGGCAGAGAGGGCACTCACATCTGTTCAAGATTCTCCAGTTGACTGATGACAGCTGGCAGACTGCCACTCAGATTGTTGTTGGCCAGATAGCTACAGTGGTGGTGGAGGGGAGAGAGAGATTGCAGAAATTGCCGAACAATCAGAGGGGAGAGAGAGATTGCAGAGAGGTGGTGGCATAATGGGGAGCAGCGAGGGAGGGAAGTGATGCAGGGAGGTACCATGGGGAAAGCTGTGCAGTGCAGTGCAGTGGAGGTGTGTGGTACAACAAAGAGCAATCCTAAGCCCTTTGCGCACTGGAGCCTCACAGCTGTTTTAGATTCGTCATGTTGAAGATGGCAGCAGGGATGGAGCCTGTCAGCTGGTTGTTGTTGAGGCCGCTGCAGGGGCATGGCATGGAAGGGGTGTGGGAAGGGAGGGCGTGGGAAGAGAGGGGCATGGGAAGGGAGGTGCCAATCCTGCTGTTTGCTAGGAGCTAGGGTGGCAGTCCGAGCCGAGCTTTCTTCTGAAAGTACTCCAGGCTGGAAGATGGCATTCTGGCACGCCGATTCACGCGTGCGGTGTGGAAGGGCATGTGCTGATGAGCATGTTGCAAGCACTTTCAACTCACACAGCCTCCAGACTGGTGAGGGTGGAGATGGAATCTGGAATGGACCCGGTGAAGTTGTTGTTGCTGAGAGCTCTGAATCGCAACACGTGCAATGAGTGCAACAGGGCAACGGCAAACCCGAGAGAGTTGAACGAGGCTCATCTGCTGCTAGATGCAATGTAAGCAAATAACTGATACGGAACCCAGTGGGTACGAAACGAATGCATTGAATTGAATGAGATATTGGGAGAGAGACGGGAAAAGGCATGGGTGGGGGGGGTGAGAGAGGCTTACAGCGACCCGATGCTGACTTTCCAGAAGGAGAAGTCTGGAAGGTGGCCCGTGAAGCCATTCCCTTCAAGGCTACTGCACAGGGCAAACAAAACAGATGAAGACTTTAGGGACAGAGGACGAAGACAATGTTGTTGGCAGCAGCACACACCGAGGTGGCAGCAGCACACACCGGGGTGGCAGCAGCACACACCTGGGTGGCAGCAGCACACCGGGGTGGCAGCAGCACACACCGGGGTGGCAGCAGCACACACCGGGGTGGCAGCAGCACACACTGGGGTGGCAGCAGCACACACCGGGGTGGCAGCAGCACACACCGGGGTGGCAGCAGCACACACCGGGGTGGCAGCAGCACACACCGGGGTGGCAGCAGCACACACTGGGGTGGCAGCAGCACACACCGGGGTGGCAGCAGCACACACAGTGGCGACACTGCTTACACCGTGTAAAGAAAGGGTGAGGCTCTGAGAGTCTTTGGAATGCCGCCAGAAAGAAAGTTGTTGGCCACTTGCCTGGAAGGAGGGGAAACAGAAGGAAGGGGTGGTTTCCCATGAAAGTGTTAGAGATGCATGGAAACAGCCCACGCACGTGCATGCATCTTGCGTCCTCTGACTTCCACTCCACCCTCACATTGGGCGAAGGGACTGCAGCAGAGGCAATGTGCCGGATGGAAGAGAAGGAAACCGAGCAGGTGCAATGGAGATGAGGAGAGCTACTCACAGCAAGTTCAGCGAGGGGAGTTTAAACAAGCCGGAAGGGATAGTCCCGCGGAATTTGTTGTCACTGAGATTACTGGGCAAGGGAGTCAATAGCGGGAACACAAAGATTTAGTTACTCTGCTAAATCTGCGTAAAAGGCTAAAGGACAGACAGAAACGGCTTGCTAAGGTAAAAGGCTTGTGAGCTCCTAGCTTTTGTCCCAATTGGAGATCGACAAAGGTTCCTCCCCTCTCTTGCGTCTTCTGTCCCATCGCTTTCAATCAACGCCCATTGAAAGCAATGGGGCAGGAGTGAGTGAAGAGAGAGAGAAAGAGACCTTTTTCAATCCCCAAGCAAAAGCTTGCAGTTCACAAGGACACTCACATGTCCTGCAGGGTGGCAAGATCACTCACATGTCCTCCAGAGTGGCAATGGCAGCCAACTCGTCGGGGATGATCCCAAAGAAACTGTTGTTGCTCAAGTCACTGCCATTGTTGTTGCCAAAGCCAAAGCCAAAGCCATGTGAGGTGTAGAGAGGTGCTGTTGATGGTACGGAGAGAAGGAGTGTGCATCCCAATCCAATCGAAATGGCTGCTTTTAGTCCCCTTGTAACACACCTCTGCTCTAAGCCGCGAGTGCATGTCTTACAGGAGAACAAGGCTCTTTATCTGCAGAACAGGCAGGGGGAAGGTTCCCGTGAAGTAATTGCCGTTAATAAGCCTGAAGCAAGCAACAAGGCAGGTGGGGTGGGGTAGAGAGATCATGTGAGGTATGGGATAAACACAAACACACTCATGCAAGACATGTGAACATGCATATACACTATAGTTAACAAAGTCGTGGTGCCCTTAGAATAGGGGTAGCCACCGCCTCAGCTGTTGCTGGATACCACACCAACATAGGCGAGTCCAAGCTGTTGCTGCATGCATGAGGGGGGAGATAGAGGGAGCACAACTCACAGGCTTGAGAGGGCTGTGATAGCTGTGAGGGACGCTGGAAGCACACCAGAGAAGTTGTTGGTACTGAGGTCTCTGCAGTGAGGATTCAAGGGAGGGGGTCAGCAATGGATTGAAGGACACGCAAGGGGAGGAGGCGAAGCATGGCGGAAGCAAATGGGTGGTGGGAGACAAGACGCAGTTGAGGTGGGAAAGAGCGGAGGCCATTCACATGCTCATGAGCCATCTCAACTGAACCACTCACATGCTTATGAGCCATGTCATCTGAGCCACTCACATGTGAGTGAGCCACGTCATCTGAGACACCACATCTAGGCCTGAGCTGAGGCTGTTGTTACTAACGTCCCTGGAAAATGGATTCGGCACGCATGTCAATGGCAACGAGAAAAGGTGAGGATGGGGAAGTAGCAACACGTTGGTGGAATAAGGCAAAGCATTAAGCAACCAGTGGGTTTTCTATAGACAAAATAAACCTGGTTATCTGATGTACTTCGCAGGCACAAAGACGCATTGTATTCATTGTAATGCGAATCCGAGTGATCCCATATCATTCATGCGATACCAGTCTCCCCTCCCTGGTGCTTTCGCATTTGGTCTTACTTTTCCTCTATTTTAGTCAATGGTGCAACCAAATCTGCGCTGATGGGCGTTCCCTTGGGAATTGCCTTTTGTTGAAGGCAGTTAGGCACAGAAAGGACCAACGACACCAAGGAGAGGCTAAGGGTGGAGTGCAATGAGGGAAGAAGCATACAGAGAACCCATGTTCGTAAGCCTTGTGAAGGCGTTGGGAATGCCTCCTGTGAACAGATTGTTGGACAGCCAACTGCAGCCAGGGCAGCCCAATGTGCACAGAGCAGTTGGATGGAGGAGGCTTTTGCATAAAGATACAGGAAGGGGGTGCACCGTGCAGCAGAGATGAGTTCAGACGAGTGGAGCCAAGCAGAGAGTGCAGCCAAGAGGGTTGGGCCAAGGGGTCAGGAGAATGGGAGGTGCAGACATGATGAGTGCATGGTCTACAGATATACAGGTCAGATGGGGATTACAGGTCAGAGAGGCTTGGCAGAGCGAGGTGTGGCGGGATGTTTCCAGTGAAGGCATTGTAGCCGAGGTCACTGGAGACGCAGGGTATGGGAGGCAGGACATGGGAGGCAGGACATGTGAGAGTACGTGCGCGAGAGAGGGGGAGTATGGGCTGGATAAAGAATTTGAGAATTGTGGGGGTGTGGCGTGGCTTGGGAAGGGAGGATGGGGCATGAGGTGGAGTAGAGAGGAGAGAGACGTACAGTCTCACAATGTTGGTGCTGAAGGCAGGAGGTATCGTGCCAGAAAGATAGTTCATCCCAAGGTTTCTGCAGTTGAGGGGGGCAGAAAGAGCAATGACACACTGAGTGGGCAGGGAGAGAGAGGAAGGGAAAGACAGAGTGGAGGGAGGACAGTGGGGGGGCAATGGGAAGCATGCGGGGAGCTTACAAATCCGCGAGGGCTGTGAGGGCAGAGAGTGTGGTTGGGATGGTGCCCTGGAGGCGGTTGTAACCCAGATTTCTGAGGGAGGTATTGAAAATACGCCGAGTGGTTATAAGGGTGGGCATTGAATGGTGCAACACCATTGGGGTTGATAGATTACTGGCGGCAGCACGGCAGCACCATCCTTGGCCCCCTACAATAGGTTATGCTCACAACTCCGACTCCTACTCTTCGTCCTCCTATACCTATTCCCTCTTACTATCTCCTCCTTCCTCCCCCTCCCCCTCCCCCTCCCCCTCTGAGCTAGAGCAGTTGAAAACGAGGAGAGCTGCTGAGGTGAATTCAGGAATGAGCTTAATCTGTAGGAGATGGTCCGCGTTTGTATGTGAGCTTCTCTGGTGTGATACAGTGTGATACCCAAAGAACCGTTACAAGATGCCGATGGGAGGGAAATCGCTGCCACTGGATGACAGGTTTTGGCTGGAAAACTGGCGACACATTTCGTAAGCGTGCGATTGGTTGGCTTGTTTCACACGCCGCAATCGATTTGCATTCACTGGGTGCAAAAATGGGCACAGTGTCACTGGGCGCAAAAAAGTACAACCGCTTTGTTGTACATTCGCAAAGGTTGTTGCAAAATGTAGAAGATGCGGACCTCGACATTGGGGGAAGTTCATGGTGCGGGATTTCCCCGACCACAAATTTCTCCGAGGCTCGATGTACACCCACCCGCCAACTTTCGATTTGAGACATCAAAAATTGCAAGTACGGAAAAAAGAAACCGTATTTTTGCACCAACACAAAAGATGCACTTGAGACGGTTTTTATCCTATTATTATCATGCGGCCGGACAATTTGGACCTTACCATAATGGAGAAAAAAAAAACGTCATTACTTTATCACCTTGATGGCATGCTAGAGGGTGGCTCACAGGTATTCCAGGCTGACTAAAGAGGACAAGCTCTCGGGCAGGTAACCCTGCAGGTTGTTGCCGGCGATCGATCTGCATGGGAGTACAGTAGCATTAGACGATAACACTATTTCTAGGGGCCTAAAAAATGAGAGCAGGCAACGTATGGATGCAACGCCTGGTGTTATGACCAGCACGAGTTTAAAGAGAAAATTGGGTAGGACCCACCAGAGACTTGCTTGCCCAGCCCAGGTGCATATGAAAAGGTAGCACGGTGAGAAGCAAAAGCTTGAGCGAAGGTGCTCCCCTGCGTGTTGCACTCACAGGCCGGTGAGCGCGGTGAGCTGCGAAAGGTACTCAAAAAGTAGCCCCTGCCGCCTTGGATCGTCTGAGCCCACATTCCTGCGCACAAGAGAAGGCACTTTCCACGCTGAGACAAGCCCATATCAAGGCTGGTTCCGGTGACTCGTGCTCTGGCGAAAAATGGGAGTGGGGTGGGGAGAGCTCACAGGAACTGAAGGCTGTGGAGGTCGGTGACCCAATCAGGAAACTCCACGGCGCGAAGGAAGGAGAGGTCCCTGCAGGTAGGAAGACAAGGATATGGAACATAGGTAGCAGTGGGCTATTTACTTGCTTGAGAGACCAATTTTTAGGCTTCTCTATTTTAGACAAGGATATGGAACATAGGAAACAGTCCACCCCATATGGATCATACTAGGCTTGAGCAACGGGTCGGGTCGGGTCGAGTAACCCGACCCAAACCCGACCTTTACGGGTCGGGTCGACATTTGCGGAGGGTCGACCCGACCCTCGGGTACCCGACCCGACCCGACCCGAAATCAGGTCAGGTAGTAGTACCCGACCCGACCTATTAAACCCGGGTTTGGTTGACATTTCCTGAACTCCGACCTGACTTGACCTGACCCGACACGACCCGAACCCGACATCGGGTAGGGCAAAGTCGGGTCGGGTCGGGTTCATGCTCAAGCCTAGATTAGGATTGAGCAAACCACCCGCCCGGGCCGGGTACCCGGTACCCGGACCCGCTTTTAGGGCGGGTCGGGTATCGGAAATCCTGAAAATTACCCGGCGGGTCGGGTCCGGGTTACCCGGGCCGGGTATCAATACCCGCTACCCGAAATGCTACCCGACGTGTCGGGGGTAACGGGTACCCGACCCGGTCGGGTAAAATATGGGCGTAAGTCGCGCTGTGTTATAGGTTTTGCGGCAAAACGGTTTTGGAGGTGAGGGAAGACGAGTGGAGCATTTGTGAGGAGAAGTTGGAGTTTGTAGATGGGGAGGAGTTAAGTGCGGTGAATGGGAGGGAGTTGGGTGGGAGTTGGAGAAGAGGTTGGAGTTTGTAGATGGGTAGGAGTTCAGTGCGGTGAAAGGGAGGGAGTTTTGTTGGAAATGTTGGAGTTTGTAGATAGGGAGGAGTTCAGTGCGGTGAAAGGGAGGGAGTTTGGTTGGAAATTGGAGTTTGTAGACGGGGAGGAGTTCAGTGCGGTGAAAGGGAGGGAGTTGGGTGGTCAAAATTCGACCCCCAGAAAACGCGACTCTCATTTGAGAGTCGCGTTTTCAGGAACCCTACCTAGCCTAGCCCAACTTTAGGATGTCCACTAGTAGGTGGCGGGTAGTATTACCCGCTTTTCAGGGTAACCGGGTCGGGTATACCCGGACCCGCCAGGCGGGTATTGTATTACCCGCCCCCTAAGGCCGGGTCCGGGTAAGGGTCCTGGGAATATTACCCGACCCGGACCCGACCCGAAATTACCCGACCCGAGGTCGGGTATTGCAAAACCGGGTCGGGTCGGGTAATTACCCGGTTTTGCTCAAGCCTATCCTAGATCATACGGCGAATATGATAGTGCGCATAAACAAGCTTGCTTAAAGACGTTGACCCAAAACGTACAAGATTAATCAAGATGAACAGGGCAAAAAGTTGAGCTGGAGAAAGGACACGGGCGTGGAGGAGTGGCGTGAGGGTGGCGAGAGTGGGCGAACACAGCACACTACGAAAACCAATCAGAACGAGCATACAAATTATGACAGAACCAAAACGTTCGCAAACAACGACTGGGGGAAATCGAGGGTGGGGGGGAAAGGAAAGTGGGGGCGCGCGCAAGGCGCAGGGTGGAGTGGGGGAAGAATTCCTGGTCAGAGCGGCGCACGGCACAACGTGGAACACTGGAAACAGCGGGAAGGAAGGGCGCGTGACTCTGGGTTGCGCATCCTGGCCGAGTTGCGCAACTCGCTTGGAATCGCCAAGCAACTCGACTTGCGCATATCAGGGCGTGGTACAACTCATATCACGATTATGTCATCAAACTGAAATTCGAACAGTTGATGCGGTTGTAGATGTTTAGACTGTTTTCAACGCGATCAAGAAGGCTAGATAAGAAAAAAAAATTGCGAGTTCAAGTCGCGTACCTCACTTGAAACGATTTGTACCACGCCCTAATAAAAACTGGCGTGTGCTGTGCATGGTGCTTTCGCTGCCTAGGGCGTAGTGGCGCTGGGCTGGGTTTGCACTCCGAAAAGTCCCAAAATGTATGGGGGGAAGTTCAAGTTTCTTTCCGCTCAAACGCCTGGTGTGGCGGGGGCAGGGGCATAATCAGCTGGGGGTGGCGCAAGATTATAAACTGTTCCCCGTCGTTTTGTTGCGCAACTTTCGTTTTTGCTCTCACTCTGGGGAACTGGGTTACCAATCGGGGGGTTTCAAGATTAATAAACTTGAAAGGCAATTTCTGCAATTTGGGTCAACGGCTTTAAACTGTCCCATGAAGGTTGGAAAGGTCGCTGCAGGGAGGAAGGCAAGAAGCCGGGACATAGAGAAGAGAAGTAACAGGGGCTTCTCTGATGCTGAGAGAAAAGAAAATGCATCTAGTGTGCAACGTACAGCGAAGTGAGGCCAGTCATGTATCGGATCTCCCTTGGTATCTCCCCTGTGGCCTTGGTGAATGAAACGATTCCCCTGCATTCATGCACACACAAAGAGCAAGAGAGGATTTTGAACCAGTGCCAATGGATGGACGGTCTGAGCCACATGACAAGGCGGCGACATGAACAGTAGGAACAGAAACGCGATTCCAGGTGCCATTGTGCTGAGAAACAGGCTTACAGGCTTTGAAGGCTTTTCAGGTGAGAGAGGATGTGCAGGGAGGACAAGTCGCCAGTGAATTCCGCAAAGTAGCCAAGAAACCTGGAGGTGGGAGGGCGGTGAGACAAGCGGGGAATCCATAGGATGGGGGACTTTTGAGTCGACTCAGAAGTCACCTCGGTGAGAGAGACGGTGCAGGCAGGACAAGTCCCCGGTGAATTCTCAAAGTAGCCAGAGGGCGAACATCAACAACGATGGCCGAGTGGCCGAGCAACGAAGAGTGATAATGCTTGCAGGGAGTACAGTGTCTGCAGGTTGGAGAGGGAGGAGAGCCAAGCCAGTCCGTCCATGGTGCCAGTGACCTTGTTGCCGTCCATGCCAAGGGCTCTGCGGCGACATGGAGCATGCAAATGAGCAATGGAACACATGCAGGGGGGAAGGCACATGTAGAGGGTCGATGGTGGTAGCTCATGCAGGGGCCAATGGTAACGTGTAACGTGAGAAGGGATTGGAAGGTAGCACACGCGGAGTGCAATGCGAGGAATCAAGGCTTTCTCCGTGAGCAAAGGGCAAGCTTGAGGGGCATGAATGAGGCTCAATCAAGAGTGTAGATGAGATAGGCCAGGAAGGCACTGTATGGGCCTTGGTGGCTTGGCTAGGCCTTGTTGTGTTGTCCCATAGGAGAGGCACGTACAGGCGGGTGAGGCTGGTGAGACTGGCGAGCGATGGCATGGTCCCCACGAGATCGATGTCGGTCAGATCGCTGCGGGGATGGGAAGGCAGGGGAGACAGGGGAGACAGGAAAGGCAGAGAATGGCAGGAAAGGCAGGAAAGATGGTCCCCACCAGTTCAACGTAGGTCAGATCGCTGCAGGGATGGGACGGCAGGGAGCACAGGGAAGGCAGGAATGGCAGGGAAGGCAGGAATGAACAGTGCAGTGGAGACGGCACCAGAAAGATGGGAAGATGGAAAGATGCAAGACTCCTGGAGAGGAGATAGATGCCAGTGGGTGGGTGGATCATAGTTGCTGGTCAGATCAGATTGGTGCATAGATGACGCAGGGAAGGCGAGGGAAAGGTGATGGTCAGGTGTGGAGTGGAGCGAGAGAGGGATGAGATGGAAAGCGGAAGCATGAAGCATGGGCACGAGGAATGGGTGCGACCATGTGAGTGCAAGAACAGAAGGAGCAAGGTGGGGCGGAGCATGGGGTAGCATGGGGAGGAAGGGGTAGCAAGGGCCAGTGGCACTGACAGGTGCTGGAGAGTGGCGAGAGTAGTGATGGCGGCAGGCATGGCGCCCGTGTAAGAGGAATTCGATAGGGGAAACTCGTTCGAATCCCTGCCAACACCACCATGCATGCACGCCATACCAGTGCTCCCATCCCTCCCCTCCCCCCCGACACCCATCTCCCCCCCTCTCATCTCCCACCCCTTTCATCTCACCCCCCATCTCACCCCCCATCTCACCCCCCATCTCACCCCCCCCAATCTCCCTCCACATCTCCCACCCCACTCCCCTTCCCCGCATCCACCCTCACCCCCACAGCACCCCACCTTCCTCCACGTTCCCCTATCCCCCTCCCCGTCCGCAATGCCACACAATTTCCTCCCCTCATCCCTCCCATCTTTCCCCCCGTCCACCTCCCCCCTCCCCACTTCCCCATTCCCTCGTCCCTCGTCCCCCTCGCCTTCCCCCACCCCCCCTCCCCCTCTCCCTCCCTCTCACCCCCCCCACACACTCAGAGTCCAGGGCAGCAGGGAATGCAACAGGTGCGGGGAGCACTGCGATGAGAGCACTGCGATGAGAGCACTGCAACGGGAGCACAGCAACGGGAGCACAACTATGGGAGCACAGCGATGGGAGCACAGCACGTGGTGCACCAAATGAGGAATGATAAGAGCCATGATGGCCGATGATGGCCGATAAGGGCCGATGAAGGGCAATGCGGGGCACGAGGGGCCGTGAGACTCACAGGCCAACGACGAGCCCCTTGGGGCTGCACGTGACGCCCATCCATGCCGCACACGCGGTGCTGGCGTTGCCGTTCGTTCCCCACGCGCCCCACGCCTTGTTCAGCTGCACCAGCGCACTCACTGCCGGGTAGGAATGGGGTGACTGGGAGATGATGTAGGGGTGGTAATGGGGGTGATGGGGGGTCTAGGATGCGCGCACCACCATGATGCTTCATCTGCACCAGCGCGCTCACTGCACTCCGCTCGCAGCCGCAAAATGGGGGTAAAAGAAGGAGATTCAGGCAACGCGTGTGAGCGCATGCGCGTCGCAACTTTGGAGGCTGCCGAAGAGAATCGGAAGCTTTTTAGTTTCTGCTCATAAGTGCTAATCTACAGTAGATTCTCACTGTTTGTGCTTATCTCGTTTTTTGCTGCGTCCCCATTTTCCCCGCGACGGTTTTTTCCGTGCGAGGCGAATCTTGGGCGACATCTTCTAGGCGTATAAGTAGTGCTTGTTTTCTTTAGGACTCTGTGGTCTGAAGAAGGCTTCAAGCCGAAACCGGTTACCACCTATTTTTAATCCAAGAGTTTTTTACAAGCACTCTACGATTTACACAGGTGTCATCACACAAGTTGCTGCCACGTATTGACACAATGGCACCTACTTGGTGTTCAATTGGACGCAAAATAGGGGTTAAAGAAGGAGATTCAGGCAACGCGTGTGAGCGCGTGCGCGTCGCAACTTGGGCCCGAATTCCCCACCGAAAGCACGAGCTCCGAGCTCCGAAAACTTTGAAACACGAAGGTGGTCTTGGGGGTGGGGTTGGGGTGGCGGGGGGGGGAGGGGAGGGGGGGGGGGGGGGGGGGGGTGGGTGTAAAGGAGGGGGGGAAGGGGGAGTGGGGGCGGTCAGCTGGACTTACATTGCGACGCCTCCAGAAGGACCGCCTTCCCTGCGGCGGCGGCGCCCGCGGTCGCCTGGGCGGTAGCGTCGACTCGCTTCAAGAGGGAGCGGCGCGCTCGGGCGCGGGCGGCGGCGGCGGCGGGGCGGGCGAGGGGAGCGGCGGCCATCCGCAGGCGCTGCTTCGGCGGCACGCGCCGGCCATGCAGGGGCAGGGAGGCGTGGTATTGGCGTGGGGGCGGCGCCGCCGCTGCCGCTGCCGCCGCCGCCGCTGGGCCAGCGCTGCCGGAAAGAGCTGCCAGACGGTTGGAGGCGGAGAAGGCGCAATCCGCGGCGACAGTCAGCGCGAGGGCCGCGAGGGCCGTCAGGAGGAGCAGGCGAGGTGCGGCGGCGGCGGCAAAGTTGAAGTTTGCGAGGAGCGGCGGGGGCCACGCCGCGGAAGGCGCAATGCGGCGCCGCGTGGCCGGGGCGCATCGTTCCGGCCGAGAACTAGGTGTGGCGCGCGGCATCGTTCCGCACGATCTACAAGTCTAAACGACTCAGACTGGCGGCGTAGTACTACGTGAGGAGCAGCAGTTCGGGGTGTTCGCGCGCCGCGCGGCTGTGCTTCTCGCGCCTAATACACTATATCACGAGGACGGGATCTCTGGAAGCAGCGTCACTGACGCTGGGACTTGAGGTTGTAACCCTAGTAGGCTGTCTCCGCTCGAAACAAACCCGAACCCGGGAAGCAAGGCTGCAGTGAAGTTGTGGGAGCCGACGCAGGGGAGAGCACAAGGTTATCGCGGGAGGCAACAGCCTCAACGCTGGGGCGCTTGTAGTGCTGCGGGGAGGGGGGGAAGGGGGGGGGGGGGGGGAGGGGGGGGGTAGTACACTGTACTGGCAGTACAGAAGTGTACCATAGGTCGGATAGGGCTCGACTCGACCTCGGATCGGAGCTGTCGCGGCCTGTAATTGTGAACTAGAGCCATTCGCAGCTCCGTCATCATCTCACGGCGAGGCGCTGCCGCGGGGTGCGGGGTGAGGAGAGGAGACTGTTCAGGTGAAGGCGATCGTCCCCCCGCGCGGAGACGGGGGCTTGAGGATAATCTCGCGCGTGGGGGGAAGAGGGGGAAGTGGGGGAGGGGGGGGGGAGGGGGGGAGGGGGGGGTGGTGGTTTGAGCGCGAGCGCTTTGCGAAGGGCACCAGATGGAGCAGGTCAAGGTCAACTCAGGTCGCTGGCGCGGCGACATGGTGATGAGTGCGCAAAGTTTAGTAGGGTGGAGCAGCAGCGTCGGATGGTTTGCTCGGGTGGGGGGGGGCACTTGGCGTTCATGGGATGGGGGAATGCCTCGGCAAGACTGTAGTCGGCTGGGGAGTGGGAGAACGCAGTTCCTGCCTCGAGTGAAGGGCAACTCCGTCGCACCTCAAGAAGTTGGTTGCGACTTGCGAGCAGCATTTGTGCTGACCTGGTTCACTGTTCCGAGAGTACAGTGCAAACCACTTACGCTAGCCTCCCTACACCTACGCCCTTCGTAGGTTCAGCGCGGTGCTTAGAGTTCTTGAAATGTAAGGGCGGGTCCCAATAGTTCATTTCGGGATTCGGGACACGATTTTAAGAACCCCGGTACAATTCCCTGAAACGATTCCGAATTCGTAAATTCCCGAAATTGTGTCCCTGTTCGCACGTGGCGCACAAGCGGGACGCCAATTGTCCACATGTGAAAATCCCGAGCGGCGCGCAACGGCCCAAAATGCAGTTACCAAATGTAAGCCTGCTCGAAACATCTGTTTCGCACACCGCGCAAAAGACAGCAGGCGCTCGGTTGCGGATGCAGTATGGCGTCGCGCGCGCAGATGTCTTCGCGACGTCGCCTGGTTTTCGCCATCGCCAGCGGGATGATATCCAGGCGCCACGGAACTGTGCGCCGCAGTCGCCTGATCGCCACACAAGAGTCGCACACTGGCAACAAACAACGCCACCCAAGCCCCCCCCACAAAGACCCACCCTTTTCGCCGTATGCTCATGCGAAAGCCTCATTTGCCCGTGGCGAGAGCATGCGAAATACTTGTGCAATTGAATCCCCGACTCCCTCAAATCTTGTGCAACTCTGACGAGCTTCGTCTGTATTGACGGATGTCGCTAAGCAGTGACCGAACGATCTCTGTTTATGTGGGGCTTTCTATTCCGAAACTCGGCAAGGAATGTGTTATGGCTGGAAATGCGCACTCATTGCAATGTGGTGTGTGTGACAGCGAGGCATAAAGAATTTGAGGCCATTCAATATTGGTTTGTGTTACTGTAGTGAACACTCTGTTCGGATACACACGTTTGAGCTTACCGTATTAGCCTGGATAGAAAACTCATGGGGCTTATCACGTACCATTTGAAAAAGGCCCAAGAGTGCCTTATGAATGAGAAAAAAAACAATATGTATGAGGGTCTTATAAATGGAACCATCATAACTTTACCGGAAAAAAACATGAGTAGTTACACTAGATGGCTGGTAATCGTTTTCATAAGGAAGATGTCACTAAGGGACCGACATTTTTTGGGATAAGGGTTTAGGCACCATTGGGCACGCGTCATGCAGCAAGGGAGGAACGAGGGTGCGTTGGCAGGCATTTTGCAATGCTCCTGCCACTAGATGTCGCGTTTCGACCATCCCAACCGTTTATCTGGCGTGAGCTCACACAGATCCAGGGGGGCTTGATCCGTTTCCACTTGATGCGTCAGCAAAGTGTCCTCAGCGATGACAGATTCATCAATGAGGAATCACGAAGTGTCTTTGTGGCAGTGGTGTTGGAGGTGGGTAGACCCCCTCATTTGGTCATTTGCAACCCAAGGTTCTCAAAAATTGCGTCAGCTTGCTGTGCCCCAACCAGTCGTGCCTTAGCCGCCCGTGCCTTAGCGAGACGTGTAGCAAGCACCATCAATGGTAGTGTCCCGCTTATCAGAATGGCCTCTACAAGTCGTTCTCCCCATCGCGATCCTCCCCTCACGACTTCTAATGACGATGTAGAACATGGGAGCGCCTTTGCGGACGGCTCAGCGTACAACGCCGCTGACGACGAGGGCGAATGGTGGGCAAGGCCCATCGGCTCCGACAATAAAGTAGAAGAATGACACGCAGGTGCCGAGGCAAGCAGTGGGGAGGGTGACGCTACGGGGGACAAGAACGCATGTGGGGTGGGCGACGATGAGAACGCGTGCAGGGTGGGTGACGATGAGAACGTGTTCGGGGTGGGCAACGATGCGGGCGACGAGAAAGTGTACAGTGAGGGTGATGATGCAGACGAGGATCCAAGCAGTGAGGATGGCAATGATGTGGACTACGATGAGGCCAGCGATGATGCCGCCGACACAAGTGACGGAAATGATGACGCTGCTGACGACGACGGCGACTTCGATGCAGTGGTTGCGTCAGCGAGGCGCACGGCGGGTCGAATAAGTTGACCTCGAAGCGGACGAGATGAAAAGCGTCGAGTACAATGCCGCAAAGGACGGCAAGCGTGTCCATGCCCTCCAAGTTGCATATGGGGTGGTTCTTGTGGATGCGCAGAAAGTTCGCCCCTGGCATCACCGCGCTCTTATCAGCACCTCCAACTCCGGTTCGGTGTCGACGCGTTCATGCACCGGCGATTCATCGGGCTGGGGGACGGGCATCCAACTCGCGGGGAGGATGCGAGTGCGCCACCAGCACCGCTCTATTGTGTTCTGGTCGATGCTGTACCACGCGTTATGGATCCAGCGGATGAGCTGCGACATTTCGGGCTTGAAGCGCTGAAGATCTGTTGGGCACTCATTCGCCTCCCACAGCTGGGTGAGCATCGCGAGATACGCGATACGGTAACGGGCCTTAGTCGTGGCAATTATTCCCTGGTCCAGTGGCTGGATGAAGCAAGTCGTGTTCGGTGGTAGGTAGACGATGCGCATGTTACTAAGCTTCCGAGTCCAAAAACCGAGGATGTCCTTAGTGATCGCACCGAGGGTGTCGATGCGATGGCTCGACACGTTATCGACGAGGAGGACGATCGATCTTCCATCGGCGAACATTGCATGTACACCGTGAAAACCTGCATAAGGGTATGAAAAAAAGGCCATGTTATTACTTAGACTATTATGGAAATCTAAAATAAACGGCAGCGGGAAGATACACGACTGTGTTATGAAACGACGAGTGCAAATTAGGAGCAGACACAAATGTAGAGGAGGTTGCGCAAGGAATGGAAGGTCATGAGGGGCGATACGAAGGCGTGTTTACCTTGCTGGTCATTCAACCCTTCTGGTTGTAACGCCAGTGCACCCACGGCTCAGGGTCGAATTTGTTTTCGTTGAAGTCGCGAGGGCAGCGAACCTTGGAAATTATCATTGGCTTCAGCATCGACGATCCGTCAGTGTTACATGTGAAGACGACTGTAATCCGGTCCTTGGCAGCCTTGAACCCGACCGCCAAATCGTCAGCCCACGTTTTCCTCGGCTGGAACGCGATGAACAATGCCGTCTCATCGAGGTTGAACAGGTCCTTTAAATGCACGCCAAGAAGGAGCATCAGCTCGGGGAGCTTCACGCGGGCCTAGTTGATGGCACCCATGTCAGCATCTGCTGCTTTACCCTTGCTTGTTAGATTTTTTAAGCCCATGCGATCCACTGCTTTGTGGACCCAGGACAGCGAACATTTGAAACTGCCCGGAAGGCCAAGAATTCGCGAGAGCTATTTGGCCTTGATTTGAATAAGCGCCAACGTTAGCGGAATACCTGCAGAGCCGGTATTCTTGATCCACGTCTTGAGCTCAGCCTGGAGTGAAGGATACTGCCCGGGGCGAACACGAATGTTCCTCTGCTGTGTTGGCGCTGCCGCCCATTTTGCCTCGTGCTTCAAAATCTTTCCAACAGTGCTCCGGTCGGGCAGCAATCCGTAACGAGTGAAGCACCACGACACGAGGTCGTCAAGGCGCAGATGCGAGTTCGCACTTGCATGCTTGCAAATGACGCGCTTGGTGACAATCAGAATTTGTGCCCTGCGATGGATGCGAGGCATTCTGATGGGTTGAGAACGCGCTAGGAAATGGTTACGGGTGCGGAGATTGGTTGAAAGGTTATAAAACCTCACGCCTAAATTGGGATTTTGGCATGAAGGAATGCAGCTGCCCAGGGTGAGGGGGCGTGATGAGAAGGGAGGCCAACCAACTGTATAGGTGGCATGACCACCCGCCACCTTAGCGAACTAGGGGGTCGAAGTTCGCCCCCAACTGTACAAGGTGGCTTGACCACTCGTCACTTCAGCGAACTAGGGGGTCGAAGTTCACCGTCGTGGATGTCGAACTCTCCACTCCAGCAGAGGTGGGTATTTTTGCCAGTTTCCGTTACAACTATGTGGCGTTATAACATCTTAATGGACTTCGATTACCCGACGACAATCCGAGGAGGTTCGCTGAACCACCGAATCGAGCCGCCAACAATTTCATCGCTCCATCCGATTGGTTCATGCTTGGATTGCACCACCCACCAGCGTCATCGAGTTGGATGGATAGGGCCACTGTACACCTTTCAGTGGACTGTATATAGAGTTCTTAGACAGTAGCGCTGAAGCCTATAACATAGATTATGTGTACTACACTCAAGTACAGGTCATATGTCTTGTAGACGACCCCTTTCATGCCCGGGAGTATTCTATATGCATTTTATCCTTAAGGGCCACTCTTTGTATGCAAAGTGTACCCGTGTCATGTGAACAGTACTCATTACAGTCAATTGGCAGCATTTTGCGATAGCCAATCATTGTGCTCGTGCGACGACTTTCAATGGCAGGCGATCTGATACTGGCTGTTTGTGTCAGAATCGTCAACCAATGCTCGGAGTCGAATCCACATCACTTCTTGGAAATTTCAACAACCACTAGACCAACCATTTATGTTCCTCCACGTGTGCCCCACAAATTGTGTGTAATGTTTGTATAGTGTCGTCAGCTGATTACAGTCCGGGGCGTGTTTTATATTTCTCTGAAATGAATCTGGATGCGCAAACAGGACTGGTCACCGCTCTCGTCGAGTTTCGCCTACCCCGTCTATTTGCGCGTTGGCAAATTTCTCAAATGTAAACGCATTTTCCTTGTTCTTGATAGAGCGCGTTGAACGTTGTGAGAAATCTGAAACTTCACCATGAACCCTGAGTTGACGCGCGTGTGACATGGTGAGCGACACATGATCGCAACAAACGCCAACACCGCCGACCATGAACAGTTTATAAAAATCCAAGCAACCAACATCTTTAGACAAGCCATAGTCCTGTTTGCCCGAGCATATTCCATGTACAGGTCATATGCCCTGAGAGCGACTTCCTTTTACGCCCGGGAGTATCTCATAGACATTTTATCCTTAAGGACCTCTCCTTGTAAGCAAAGTGTACACGTGTCATGTGAACAGTTCTCATTACAGTCAATTGGCAACATTTTTCGAAAGCCAATCAGTGTTTTCGTGCGACCATTTTCAATGGCAGGCGATCTGACACTGGCTGTTTGTGTCAGAATCGTCAACCAATGCTCGGAGCAGAATACACATCACTTTCTGGAAAATCCAACAACCACTAGACCAGCCATTTATGTTCCTCCACGTTTGCCCCACAAATTGTGTGAGTAATGTTTGTACAATTGGGTGCCTGTTTTATATCACTGTAAAATGAATCCGGATGTGCAACCAGGACTGGTCACCGCTCTCGTCGATGTTCGCCTACCCCGTACATCTGCGATTCTCTCAAATGTAAACGCCTTTTCCTTGTTCTTGATAGAGCGCATTGAATGTTGAGTGGAATCTAAAACTTGACCATGAACCCTGAGTTGACGCGCGTGCGACATGGTGAGCGACACCTGATCGCAACAAACGCCAACACTGCCGACCATGAACAGTTCATAAAATACAAGCAAAAAACATTTTGCGACACGCGAGAGTCCCGTTTGCCCGAGCATATTCGATGTACGCGAAATCCCCCGAGTCGCCCCCCGGGCTCTCAGGGCATATGACCTGTACGCGAAATCCCCGGAGTCGCCCCCCGGGTGATAAGGGAATATGAGTTGTATTCTAATAAAACGTCGGTTTCGTTTGGTGCGGGAACGATTGTTTGATCTGCGGAACGATTGTTTGTCACTTGCCCGAGAAACCCACGCTCGACGGGACTTGGCCTCCCTGCGACATTACAAACCTGGCCCAAACTCGAGGTGGTTGGAACCAAAATAGCGACTCTAAAATGTGCTATTTATTAGAATACTTGGTTGTGCAGGTAATATTAGCGCGAGAAACACCGTGAACTGCTAATACTCCTCTCGTACTCTGAGTCACTGAGACATAGTAGTAATCGTTCGGAACGATGCCGCGCACCACACCTACTAGTTCTCGCCGCGCCGCCCCGGCCACGCGGCGCCGCCTCGCGCCAGGCGCGTGGCCCGCCGCGCCGCTCCTTGCAAACTTCAACTTTCCCGCCGGCGCACCTCGCCTGCTCCTCCTCGCGGCGGCCCTCGCGGCCCTCGCGCTGACTGTCGCCTCCGCGGATTGCTCCGCCTCCGCCAATCGGCGGGACCGCCAGCTGAGCCTCCTCCCCATCTCCCCCTCCCCTCCCCCACCACACCCACCCCCACTGTCCTCCTCCCCCCTTCCCTCCCCCCAAGTTCAAGTTGAGACGAGCACGTTGAGACGTGTTGCTTGGATTTCAACGTCGCAGGTGAAGCATGATGGACGCGCACCCTAACCTCCCCACTACCCCATTGCCCCATTACCCCACCATCATCACCCTTGGCTGCCCCCCCCCCCCCCCATTCTGCCAGCAGTGAGCGCGCTAGTGGAGCTGAAGCATGGTGGTGCGTGCATCCTACCCCCCCCCCTCACCCGATTACCCCATTCCTACCCCATGGCTCCCATTCCGCCGGCAGTGAGCGCGCTGGTGCAGGTGAAGCATGGCTCGTGCATCCTAACCCTCCCGTGAACCCCGCTTCCCCATTCCCCCATCGCCCCGTTTCCTGATGGCCCTCTTTCCGCTGGCAGTGAGCGCGCTGGTGCAGCTGAACAAGGCGTGGCGCGCGTGGGGGAAGAACGGCAACGCCAGCACCGTGTGCGCGGCATGGAGCGGCGTCGCGTGCAGCCCCAAGGGGCTCGTCGTTGCCCTGTGAGCCCCCCTGCCCCTCATTGCCCTACATGCCCCTCACCTCATTGCCCCCTCATGCCTCCCATGCCCCTCATTGCCCTGCATGCCCCTCACCTCATCGCTGGGTCTCATTGCTGTGCTTGACCCGTTGCGTTTCCCTGCTGCCCTGGACTCTGTGTGTGTTGGGGGGTGGAAGGGAGAAGTGGCGAGGAATGACGGGATTGAATTGTGTGGGACGGATTGGGGAAGGGAGGCGGAGAAAGGGGTGGCAATGCGGACAGGGAGGGGAATGGGGGAATGTATAATGCGGTGGGAGATGGCGGTGGAGGCGGAGAAGGGAGGGGAGAGGGGGAGGGGGGGTGGGTGAGGGGGGGTCTTGATGGGAGCACTGGCATGACATTGCGTGCATGCATGCTCATGCTGGCAGGAACTCGGTCGATTTCCCACAGGCGGATCCTCTTCCCACTGGCGCCATACCTGCCACCATCACAACCCTTGCAACTCTCCAGGACCTGTCCGTGCCCTTTGCTTCCCTTGCCCTACCTTTGCTTCCCATGCTCCACCTTTTCTTCCCATGCCCCACCTTTGCTTCCCATGCCCCACCTTTGCTTCCCATGCCCCACCTTTGCTCCCCATGCCCCACCTTTGCTTCCCATGCCCCACCTTTGCTTCCCATGCCCCACCTTTGCTCCCCATGCCCCACCTCTCTCGCCCTTGCTCCTCATGCTCCACTCGCCCTTGCTCCCCTTGTTCTTGCACCCGCACTCTCTACTCGTGCCACTCTCCACAACCTGTCCCTCACCACCCACCCTCTCCCGCAGCCAATGCATTGTGCATGCACTATGTCCTCCCTGCTTCCCCATGCTCCACTTGCCCTTGCTCCTCCTGTTCTTTCTCTCGCACCCATGCCTCATGCCCACGCTCCACCTCACATGCGTCATGCTTCCGCATTTCATCTCGCCCATCCCTCCTCCCCACCCCACCCTTCACCACACCGACCATCACCTTTCGCTGTCCTTCCGTGCCCAATGTATGCAACAATCTGACCAGCAAGTATGGTCGACCAACTGACATTACCCTGAATGCAGAGTCTAGCATCTTTCCATCTTCCTGCCATTCTTGCCTTCCCTGTCTCCCCTGTCTCCCCTACCTTCCCATCCCCGCAGCGATCTGACCGACATCAGTCTGGTGGGGACCATTCCATCGCTCGCCACTCTCACCAGCCTCACCCGCCTGTACGTGCCTCTCCCGTGGGACAACACAACAAGGCCTAGCCAAGCCACCAAGGCCCATACAGAGCCTTCCTGACCTATTGCCTCGGCACTCTTGACCCCATTCACGCCCCTCACGCATGCTCTTTGTTCAACGAGTTAAGCCTTCAACCCATTGGCCCCGTGGTGTCTTGATTCCGCGCATTGCATTCCGCACATTGATTCCGCATTGTCTTCTGATCCTCCTTGCCCCCTCGATGTTTTCCATTGCTCCGTGACCTTCACGTGTCTGCATTCCTCAGAGCCCTTGGAAGGGACGGCAACACGGTCACCGGCACCATGGACGGCTTGGCTTGGCTCTCCTCCCTCTCCAACCTGCAGACTCTCTACGCCCTGCAAGCATTATCACTCTTCGTTGCTCGGCCACTCGGCCATCATTGATGTTCCCCCTCTGGCTACTTTGAGAATTCACCGGGGACTTGTCCTGCCTGCACCGTCTCTCTCACCGAGGTGACTTCTGAGTCGACTCAAAAGTCCCCCATCCTATGGATTCCTCGCATGCCCACCGCCCTCCCACCTCCAGGTTTCTTGGCTACTTTGCGGAATTCACTGGCGACTTGTCCTCCGTGCACATGCTCTCTCACCTGAAAAGCCTTCAAAGCCTGTAAGCACTGTTTCTCAGCACAATGGCACCTGGAATCGCGTTTCTGTTCCTACTGTTCATGTCGCCGCCTTGTCATGTGGCTCAGACCGTCCGTCCATTGGCACTCGTTCAAAATCCTCTCTTGCTACTTGTGTGTGCATGAATGCAAGGGAATCGTTTCATTCACCAAGGCCACAGGGGAGATACCAAGGGAGATCCGATACTTGACTGGCCTCACTTCGCTGTAAGTTGCACACTAGATGCATTTTCTGTTCTCTCAGCGTCAGAGAAGCCCCTGTTACTTCTCTATTTCCCAGATTCTTGCCTTCCTCCCTGCAGCGACCTTTCCTTCTTCTGATTGCGTCACTCACCTCTCCAACCTTCATGGGGCAGTTTAAGCAAGCTTGTTTATGCGCACTATCATATTGTCTCTCTTAAGCAAGTAAATAGCCCTCTGCTACCTATGTTCCATATCCTTGTCTTCCTACCTGCAGGGACCTCTCCTTCCTTCGCGCCGTGGAGTTTCCTGATTAGGTCACTGAACTCTCTAGCCTTCAGTTCCTGTGAGCTCTCCCCACCCCACTCCCGTTTTTCGCCAGAGCGCGAGTCACCGGTACCAACCAGCCGTGATATGGACTTGTCTCAACATGGGAAGTGCCTTTTCTTGTGGGCAGGAATGTGAACGCAGACAATCCAAGGCGGCGGGGGCTACTTTTTGAGTACCTTTCGCAGCTCACCGGCCTGTGAGTGCAACACGCAGGGGAGCACCTTCTCTCCTTCAGCTTTTGCTCCTCACTGTTCTACTTCTTCATATGTAGCAGGGCAAGCAAGTCTCTGGTGGGACCTACCCAATTTTCTCTTTAAACTCCTGCTGGTCATAACGCTAGGCGTTGCGTCCATACGCTGCCTGCTCTCATTTTTGTAGGCGCCTAAAAATAGTGTTATCGTCTAATGCTACTCTAATCCCATGCAGATCGATCGCCGGCAACAACCTGCAGGGCTACCTGCCCAAGAGCTTGTCCTCTTTAGTCAGCCTGAAATACCTGTGAGCCACCCTCTGCCATGCCATGGCATCAAGGTGCAAAAAAGCGGCGTTTTTTCTGTTTCCTTTTATTTTCCATCGTAAGGTACCGATTTTTCCAGCCACATAATTATAATGCGATAGAAATGGTCTCAGGTGCGATTTTTGTGTTGATGCAAAAATACGGCATTTGTTATTCCGGCCTTTTTTTGCACGGTGCTATACTTGCAAATTTGTTTGTCTCGAATCGAAAGTTGACGGGTGGGTGTACACCGAACCTCGGAGAAATTTGTGGTCGGGGAAATCCCACACCACGGACTTCCCCCAATGTTGAGGCCCGTATCTTCTACATTTCGCAACAACCGTTGCGAAATGTCAAACAAAGCGGTTGTACGCTTTTGCGCCCAGTGACACTGCGTCATGAATGCAAATCGATCGCGGCGTGTGAAACAAGCTAACCAATCGCACGCTTACGAAATGTGCCGCCAGTTTTCCAACCAAAACCTGTCATCCCGTGGCAGCGATTTCCCTCCCATCGGCATCTTGTAACGGTTCTCTGGGTATCACACCAGAGAAGCCCACATACAAACGTGGAACATCTCCTTCAAATTAAGCTTTTTCCTGAACTCACCTCAGCGTCTCCCCTCGTTTTCAACTGCTCTAGCTCAGTCTTTGTAGTTACGACTGCCACTCGTAGCCAACCCACCATGCTGTGAATGCCTTCCCCCATATGGGAGCATGTGAAGAAAGTCTACAGCAAGGGGAAACTGCCAAAACCGAGTGTATAGGAGGACCAAGAGTACGTGTCTAGAGGCCTATGGACGCAAGGATGTTGTCATGCGTATCTTTCCAGAAAGTCTACCCTATTGTAGCGGGGAAATACGTGTTTAGAGGCCTATGGACGCAAGGATGTTGTCATGCGTATCTTTCCAGAAAGTCTACCCTATTGTAGCGGGGAAATACGTGTCTAGAGGCCTATGGACGCTAGGATGTTGTCATGCGTATCTTTCCAGAAAGTCTACCCTATTGTAGCGGGGAAATACGTGTCTAGAGGCCTATGGACGCTAGGATGTTGTCATGAGTATTTTTTCAGGAAAGAAAAAAATCGCCAACGAGCCCAAACAAAAAATAACAGCTCATTTTTCCCAAATCGACAGAAAAAGGCAGCCGTATTACACGGCCCGTTTCTTACGGCTGCCGTATTTTTAAGCCTCGCATGCCATGCAATCTCATGCTCTGCCGTGCTGCCATGCTATTGAAGATCATGCCACCAGTATTCTATCAAACCCAATGCCCACCATTCAATGGTGCCGCCCTTTCACCTACCTGCTTGCCTGTTTTCACACGTACCCTTCCGCATTAGTGAGTGTAGTTGTCCCATCCATGTCATCATCTCCCCACCCCCCCCCCCACCTGTCGTGTCACTTGCTTCAGAATTATTGGTGACAATCACTTCACGGGAACCTTTCCCCTGCCTGTTCTGCAGATGAAGAGCCTTAAATATCTGTAAGACATGCACACGCGTAGGCTTGAGCATACTACCCGCCCGGGGTCGGGTACCCGGTACCCGGATCCGCTTTTAGGGCGAGTCGGGTATCCGGAATCCTCAAAATTACCCGGCGGGTCAGGTCCGGGTTCCCCGGCGGGTATTCAATACACGCTACCCGAAATGATACCCGACACGTCGGGTAGCTGGTACCCGACCCGAAATCGGGTAGCGCGTCTACCCGACGGAACCAGCGCGACATTGATCGCGCTGGTAGAGAAATTTCAGCAAGTTTTTAGGTTACGTAGCTGCTAGGTCACGTAAAGCATTGTAGAGTGGCAGGGGTTGGATTTCGTAGATCCAGATGTATTCAGAGAGGTTGAATTGGGGGAAATTCGTTGGAATTCCAACCAATCGAATTTCCCCAATCGAATTTGCAACCCAACCTGAATCCAACCAACCGCACAGCACCACATTGGTTGGACTTTCAACCAGTTGACTCTGGGGATCAAAGAATCAAACCCCCTAAAATCGCACACAACCCCATCCCAACTAGAAAACCCAACCAACTCCCCACTCAGGCCCCACTCACGCCCCACTCACCACACCAGAGCTGTTAAAGATTTGACGCACCTCCTACTCCCTCCCGCAACTGACGTTTTTTAAGCACTATCTAGGTCGTAGGTTTAGTAGCCCAACAGGGTAAGAAAACGCGGGTATTACTACCCGCTTATCAAAGAAACCGGGTCGGGTATACCCGGACCCGCCAGGCGGGTATTAATTTACCCGCCCCCAAATCCCGGGTCCGGGTATTGGTCCAGGGCATGTTACCCGACCCGTACCCGACCCGAAACTACCCGGCCCGAAGTCGGGTATAGCAAAACCGGGTCGGGACGGGTAAATATCCGGTTTTTCTCAAGCCTACACACAGGTGCTCGGACAAAGGCGGGAGGCAAGGGGTTTACGAACTGCAGTTATTGCATTGAATTGTAATGCACACTAATTCTTCCAGAAATACCACTTGCAACAACAGCTTCTCTGGGACGGCAATGGCAATGGCAATGGCAATGGCGCTGACAGGGACTTGAGCAACAACAGCTTCTCTGGGATCATCCCCAACGAGTTGGCTGCCATTACCACCCTGGAGGATGTGTGAGTGGCACCATGCAGCATGGGAGCAGCAAAATGGGTTGCAGAAAGTTTTATTATGGTGCTGCAATGGGCGTTGAAAGCGACGGGACAGGAGCAAGAGAAGAGACGAATTCCCTTGTAATGCTTCAACAGCTGATGAGCCCTCAGCAAGTCTGTCTGTCCTTCAGCATTTGTGCGTGAAACGAGGAGCTAAACCCCTTGGTTGACCGTTCACACTTGGGGCGTGAAATGAGGAGCTGAATCAACTCAAACACTCTGTGATCTTGCGACTGACTCCCTTGACCAGTAATCTCAATGACAACAAATTCCATGGAACTATCCCTTCTGGCCTATTTGAGCTGCCAACACTCTTCTCGCTGTAAGTGTCTCCTTGCCTCTAGCACCGTGTCTCTGTTTCTGAATCAAATTCTTCCATCCAGCACCTTGCCTCTGCTTTACTCTTTCCCCCCCAGTGTCTGGTTGTGTGCTTTACTCTGTTTCCTTGCATCTGTGACATCAGCATGCACCCCCCCCTTCCCCCTCCTTCTCAATGCAGGCAAGTGGATAACAACTTCCTTATTGGTGGCCTTCCAAAGGCTCTCAGTGAATCCACCTCTCTTTACATGCTGTATGCACCATTGTGTGTGTTGCCACCACTGTGTGTGTTGCCACGTTTTTTTCTCTTCATGCTCAACTTTCATATCCCTCGAGTCTTCATCTGTCGCTTCTTCACTATGAAGTTCTTTGGGAGGGAATGGCTTCACAGGCTCCCTACCAAACTTCTCTCTTTGGAACGTCAGCATCATTTTTCTGTAAGACTTCTCTCTCTCTCTCTCTCTCTCTCTCTCTCTCTCTCTCTCTCTCTCTCTCTCTCTCTCTCTCTCTCTCTCTCTCTCTCTCTCTCTCTCTCTCTCTCTCTCTTTGTCTCTCTCTCTCTCTCTCTCTCTCTCTCTCTCTCTCTCTCTCTCTCTCTCTCTCTCTCTCTCTCTCTCTCTCTCTCTCTCTCTCAAGCGGTCCGTGTATTGATCAAAACGTTGGTACAAAACTAAGCATGCGAGCAAAAGCAGCCAGACATAGCAAAGGTACGTGTACGCTGGGGGTGTGCAGCCGGACTACTGGAACTCCCCAAGTGGCTCAGCTATGGCAAAACAGTCCCCTAAGCCCATTACGGCTTTGGGGGTACCCACGGGGGGGTACTCCGCCGGGGCAGCCTCGCTGACCTTCCCGAGGTAGGCCAGGGCCTGTGACCGCTGGAGCGTGACGGACCAGCGCTGGCGGAACTGATGCAGGAGCTTCGTCGCCTGGTAGGAGCTCGGGTTCGCGCTGAAAAGCCGCCTTGCCCCTGTATCCGCCAGGAGCTTCAGAAGGCTGGGAACTTCGGCGCAGGGGCAGCCATAGGTCTCCACGGCCAAGGGGAAGAAACCAACATAAGGTGCTCGGTTGCGGAAGTGGTCAATCTTCTTGTCGGCCTGCTCCCGGGCCATATATCCCCGCCCTTTTCGTGCGTGCGGGTCCCGGGTGCTGATGGGATCCGTGACAGTGATGTCACAGATCCAGACGGCACCAGAGTCTCTGTCGCGCATGGCTAGGTCGGCCTTATGACCGTCCACCGGACTGTAGATAGTGGTCTCCTTGGTGACGATGAACCCGGCATCTTGCGCCATACGGATGCATTCGTCGCGAAGTGCATTGTGGGTGTCTGTCCGGCCATGCCCCGTGCCGCAGCGGAAGAGGTGGTTGGGCAGCCGGGGGTCAAGGATCTCAGTCTCGTCTGCGCAGTTGCAGTTGCGTGGGGCTGGGAAGGGGAGGCCGAGACGGAAGGCAAGGGCGATGGCAAAGTGCGGTGGTCCGAGGCGGAGAGAGGGGAAGATGGGGATGGCATGGATCCAGTCCCCTGCCCCGTAACCTGCCAGGGAGAATAGGCGCTGGGTGTGACCGGAGCAAGGGTTCAGCTCCATCCCACGGGACGCTGCCACCTGGTCTGCATATCGGGCGGCTTGGACCTCAAGAGAGAGCCGGTGCTGGAGCGGGGTTCCAGATGGTTCCTGGCGTTCGGAGCGCAGGAGCTCTAGAGCACGGGTCAGCAGGGCCGCCTCACACCCTGCCAGCCAGGTATGGAGATGGTTGGGGCTGGATAGGGGGGGGGTGAGGGGGCGCAGTGCGGACGCCAGGGGCCCGACGGTTGCTGTTGGCATGGCGGCGAGGAGGTGCTGCGCCTGGGTGACGCTGGTTAGGAAGGCTGCAGGGCCTTCGATGGCGGGGTCGGTGAGGCCCAGCCCGCCGAGCGAGGGCAGAAGTGAGGCCTGGGCCCAAGTTAGCGCGCGTTCGGCTTCCCCTCGAGGTGGTTGGAGGTTGCACGCGCAGAGGAGGGTGTGGAATAGCCCCCGCCCCCACTCCGACCAGTCGGTTTGTGGGAGGAGATCCAGGGGCGTGGTGCGGGTCAGGTAGCTGACCCGCCGCGAGATGCATCACGTAAGGAGGAGAGATGCCGTTTGGGGGTCCATGGAGGCGATGGTGGGGAGTGGCTCGGCCACCGAGGCTAGCTGAGAACGGAGGAAACTAGCTGAGCCCTCAGTTGTCCCAACAAAGCTCCCCAGCACCCGTAGCCCCTCGCTGTGGAAAGGGACGTCCGGGGGAAGGGCGTCGGGTGGGGGAGGTGTGGAGGACCACGCCCCACACTTCGAGGGGTTGTGCGTAAGGCCAATGGCCCCCACGGCGCCCGTGAAGTGGTGGAAGGCCGCTGTGCAGGCGGCCGGCTCGTCGACGAACGTCACGTCGTCCTCGTAGGCGAGGCAGAGGACGTCGGGGTGGGTGGTAGCCGTCGATTGAAGCGCGGGGTGGATGGCTGCCGCAAAGAGCAAGGGGCCCATTGGGTCCCCTTGGTGGACGCCCCGTGCGCTCTGGAGTGGGGGGCTGGCGAATCCGGCGTCGAGGTATAGAAGCGAGGGGGTGCCATACGAAAATTGGATAAATGGTAACAGCGGTCGCAGGGGCGAGGCGCCGATGGCGGTGATGATCGCCCCTCGCTCAACACTATTAAGCGCGTTTGTGAGGTCCACTTGGATGACCAAGGACCCAGGATGTGCGGAGGTGAAAGCCCGAGTGGCGTGGATGATTGCTTCCCCGCCGCTCCGAATTGCGACGCCAAACTGAAGGGGCAGGAAAAATACTTGTGCGGGCTGGGTGGTCGAGATGAGGGCGGATTTGGCGGCGAGGCGATGGAGGCATTCGCCTATAGCTATGGGGCGTGAGCCACCATCAGGCTTGCAAAGGGCTAGGAGGTGTGACGCTGTAAGCAGCCGGCTGACCTCCTGGGGCAGGTTACCAGCGAGGAGCAGCTGCACGATTTCTTGCAGCAGCTTAGCGACGAGTGGACTGGTGAGTGAGGCATCACGCATGTGTTCGAATGTCATCCCCGAAGGGCCGGCTCCCACCCCATTTTTGCTTCGCGAAAGTAGGCGAATGAAGTCGGCGAAGTCGAGCGCGGGTGGGTTGACGTCGTCTAAGGAGGGCCACGTGAGGTCCTCCGTCAACGGCCGCGGGTGTTTGGACTTCAGCGAGTCAAGAACCTCCGGGGTTGACTCGCTGACTGGGGTCGACTGGAGTGCCAGCAGGGCACGGCGAAGGCTGCCTCGTCGCACGAGCCCCTCAGCTCGGGAGATTTTCCCGAGGTCGTCACGAACATGGCGAGGGGGTGCAGGCAGTGCGACAGCTGCTGCAGCTGACTAGTAGAGGGCGTCCCACTGGCCTGCGAGGAACTGCTGCAGACGATTTTCCGTCGCTGGCCAGTCCGGTCGTTTGGGCGAGGACATGCGAAGAGTTAGGCGGGGGAGAAAAAGTAACAACCGCCAGCCCCCGATTGAAGTTGGATTTTTCGCGAGGAAAAGGAGGGGCGTCAGCAGGGCCAGCGCGAACAGCTGACGAATAGGGGGGGGTAGTCGCCCTGAAAGAGGGGGCTGGCGATTGTCGCACAGCACCGCGATATCCCAGCTGGCTAGTTGGGCAAATCGTGAGGCATCGCTGGCCAGTTTCTCCGGGGAAAGTTGCCTGGCTGCCTGGGAGGGAGCACCCAGCGGTGTCCGGGCATTCGGTGGCCCCTGGATCTGGGAGAGGGGTTTTGAATCTCGCTCCCCACCCGCCTTGGCGCCCTTTCCTCCAGTGCGTCACTGGACTCCTTAGTGGTAGACTCCAGGTGCGGTTCCTGGATATATGTACCATCTCTTCTTTCTTCCTCGTCAGTTGCCTCCCTAAGTCCCATCTCCCTTAAAGCCCGATTCGCAGCCTGCTGGAAGCCGTTCAGCGGGCCACCGTCGCGTGCCAAGTCGCCTGTCCGTCCGCGCTCGCGCCCACGCCCACAGCTTCCCCGGCCCCTGGTTCCGCCATCCCTGCCTCCGCCGCGCCCCACCGTCGCTCCAGCTCTCGCTCGCCATCCGGTCCGTCGCGCGAGGGAGGGTGACAGACCAGCGCTGGCGGAACTGGCTGAGCAGTTTAGCCGCCTGATAGGAGCTGGGGTCAGCATTGAAAAGGCGGCGGGCGGCCGTGTGTGCGAGGAGTTTAAGGAAGGTTGGCACTTCGGCGCATGGGCAGCCATACGTCTCGACGGCGAGTGGAAAGAAACCGACGTATGCTGCCCGGTGGCGGTATTCGTCGATCTTCTTGTCCGCTTGCTCCCGGGCCATGTAACCGCGGCCTTTGCGCGCTAGCGGGTCCCTGGAGCTGACTGGGTCGGTGACCGTGACGTCACAGATCCAGACCGCCCCCGAGTCGCGGTCACGTATGGCCAGGTCGGCGGTCTTGCCGTCGACCGGGTTGTAGATCGTCGTTTCTTTCGTGACTATAAACTGTGCGTCTCGCCCCATACGGACGCACTCATCCCGGAGGGCATTGTGGGTGTCGGTGCGACCGTGTCCCGTCCCGCAGTGGAGGAGGTGGTTTGGTAGGCGGGGGTCTATGATCGCGACCTGTTGGGCGCAGTTGCAGACCCTGGGTGCCGGGAAAGGGAGGCCCATACGGAACGCCAGGGCGATGGCATAGTGCGGCGGCGCCAGCCGAAGAGATGGGAATAGGGGGATGGCGCAAAACCAGTCGCCGGCGCCGTACCCAGTGAGGGAGAGGAGCCGCTGGGTGTGGCCGCTGAGGGGGTTGGGGTCCATCTCCCTTGACCCAGCTAGTTGGCGGGCGAAGCATGCTGCGTGTACCTCCAGGGCCAACCGGTGCTGGAGAGGATCGTCCAAGGGCTCCGCCCGCTCGGCCTGCAGGAGCGCCAAGGCTGGAGCTAGGAGGGCCGACTCGCATTTCGCCAGCCAGGTATGAAGACGCGAGGGTCCGATGTAGGGAGGGGCTAGGGAGCAGGCCGCTGCGGCGAGTGGGCCTGTCGGGTCCGAAGGAAGGGATATGAGCAGCCGGTGGGCCTGTGTGACGCTGGTGAGGAAGGCGTGCGGGCCCTCTACTGCGGGGTCCGCGAGGCCGAGGCCGCCAAGGGTGGGGGGCAGAGAGGCTTGGTGCCACGTGCGCGACCGCTCCTGTTCACCCCATGGGAGCTGAAGTTTGCATGAGAGGAGGAGGGTGTGGAAGAGCTTCTGCCCCCAGTTGGACCATTCCTCGGTCGGCAGCGAGTCAAGGGGGGTGGTGCGGGTGAGATAGGAGACGCGTCGTGAGACGCAGCGGTGGAGGAGAAGGCCCGCAGCTTCGGGGTCCATGGTCGCCAGGTCAAGGAGCGGTCTGGCCATGTCAGCCAGCTGCTCCCTAAGGAAGGCGGCTGTGGCTTCGGTGGGGCCGATGTGGCTTCCGAGGACGCGCAGGCCGTTAGTGCGGAAGGGGATGCCTGGGGGGAGTGTGGGGCTGGGGGGCTGGGAAGCTGACCACGCCGCGCACTTGGAAGGGTTGTGCGCGAGGCCCAAGGGGCGTAGGGCCTCAGTAAGATGGGTGAATGCCAACGCGCATTCCGACGGCTCTCCAAGCAGCGTGATGTCGTCGGTGTAAGCGAGGCAGAGCACGCTAGGAAACGCCGAGGCTGTCGCCTGGAGTGCCGGGTGTAAAGCCGCCGCGAAAAGCAGGGGGCCCATGGGGTCCCCTTGACTAACACCCCGGGCACTAAGGAGGGGTTCGCTGCCGAATCCCGCGTCTAGGTAGAGTCGCGACGGCGCACCGTAGGAGAGTTTGACGAAGGGGAGAAGCGGCCGGAGGGGCGAGTTGAAAAGGCCTGCGACTATCGCGGCTCTGTCAACGCTGTTGAAGGCGTTTGATACGTCGACCTGGAGTACGAGGGCGGACGGAAATTCGGAAGTGTATGCGCGGGCTCCGTGGACGATTGCCTCGCCACCCGCGCGTACTGCCACCCCGAACTGCAGCGGGAGGAAATGAGTCTGCGCCTGTGCTGTCATGGAGAGGAGGCCCGCCTTCGCCACGAGGCGGTGCAGGCACTCGCCTATGGCGATAGGTCGCGTACCGCCTCCGGGCTTGGGGAAGGCGATTAGGCGGCTGGCGGTGAGAAGGGCGGCGATTTCGGCTGTGGAATCCCCTTTGAGCAGACGCAATGCGAGCTCGTGCAATTTGACAGCGACTAAGTTGTTGGCGAGGGCGGCTTCGCGAATGTGCTCGAAGCACATTCCTGAAGGCCCTGCGCCCACTCCGTTTTTGAAGCGACTCAGCAGACGAATGAACGCGTCCTGCGAAAACGAGGGGCCTGCCTCTAACTCGTCGAGGATGGGCCAGGCTATTGACTCGGTCAACGGAGCGGGGTGCTTGGACTTCAGTGCCTCGAGGACGTCGGGAGTTGAATCGCTGACCGGGGTCGAGTCCAGTGCCAGCAGGGCACGTCGGAGACTGCCACGGCGGACAAGCCCCTCTGCCCGCTTTTGCCTGCCGATGGAGTCCGGCATGTGGCGAGGTGCGGGGGGGTTATGCACAGCATCGATTGCTGACAGGTACAGCGTCTGCCAATTGCCCGCGAGGAACTGCTGCAGTCGTTTTTCCACCAAGGCCCAATCAGGGTGCTTGGGCGAGTGCAGGCGATGGGTTCAGGATATCTGGCATGCTACTGGCGCGGGAGGGACGCGTATTTCGCGCAATCCCTCTGGCAGCCTGGGCGGGAGAGCCCGGGGGCTGTGTGTCCACAGGTCTATGTCCGCGGGATCTGAGCGATGGGGACGGATTCCTGCCTCGCCTGCGTGACAAAGTTCTCTCCTCCAGAGCAGCACTGGACTCCTCCGTTGATGAGTACTGTATCCTCTCCGATACATAAGATGCGTCTCGTCTGTCTTCCTCGTCAGTTACCTCCCTCTGCCCTCCCTCCCTTGAAGCCCGGTTAGCAGCCTGCTGGAAGTCGTTCAGCGGGCCACCATCCCGTGACAAGACGCCTGTCCGTCCTCGACCGCGCCCCCGACCTCTTTGGTCCCGGCTTCCACTGCGTGGCGCTGCCCCTCCGCCCGACGCTTGCTGACCATTCCGACGCACGGGCGTCCGGGCCGTCAATGGAGTCACCCCGAAATGTGGTGGGATTCGGGCGTCCCCCACCGAGATCGGGCGAGTTCCCCACCGCCTGTGAACCACGGTTGGGAGCGCGGGTTCCCCGTCTCGTCAACGAGCCGCCAGCAGACCCCAGAGCGGCTGTCGGGCAGCCGCCACTCGTCCCCCGCACGTCACGAGCAGAAGGCCCCCGAGCGTGCGAACCAAGACCAGCCGGGGGCGGCGCAGCCTCCGCTGATCCCGCCGCGTCGAGGAACACCCCAGCGGGGGGCGCAAGCGGCTCCTGCCCAGCAGCGCCGGACGCCGCAGGGGCAGCGTGGGCATTCTGGTCCGCACCGCAGGTGGAGGGCCGGAGGGGGCAACGGGCGAGGTTCGGCTGCGGAGAGGCAGCTGGGTCGCGCTGCTGCAACCTTGGAAAACCTGTTCCATTCGGTAGCACCGCCGCAGCCCCCGAGTATGTGTCCCCCGCCGCAGATTCCGCCCGCGATAGTGCCTCCTCCGTATTCCGTGATGCTGCAAGTGCCGTTTCGACCTCTTCCGGCGCCCGTGTCCGCGGCGCCACAGCCGCCGCCCTGTCAGGAGCATCGCCAGCCGCCTCCGCCGTCTGCCCCCTGGTACCAGACCCGGCAGTTGCCCCAACATCACCCCGCGCCCAACATGCCGGCTGCTCCGACGGATGTGCCGACCATGGGGACGCTGCCAAGCTGTTAGCCGCCGGTGGTGGGGGCATCGGCAGTGGGCTGGTACGAAGGCCAGCGACAGCCGATGGCTCCGCCGTCCTTCGGCGCACGGGCTGCCGCGCCCTTTGTTCCCCCCCGTATGGCGATGGGCTCGCCGACAGGAGTCGAGGGGGGGGCAGAAGCAGCGGAGACGGGGGAGGCGGAGTCCTCTGATGAGGGCTATCCGTGTGAGGGGTCGGAGCAGCGCCGCCCAGGCGGGCTGCGGATGCCGCCGAGGGTGCAGTTGGAGCGGCTGCGGGGGCGGGAGCGCCTTGTGGAGATGGCGGTCCCAGTTGCCACGCTTCGTCGGCTCTGGCACGCGCGGCGGGCGATGGGGATCGCTGTGGGGATGCTGACGGACTCGCACTCCGTACTACGGGGCTTAGCGAGCCCGTGCAGGATGCCCCATGATCCCCTTCATCGCTGCGCGATGGCTGCAGCAGATCTCGCCGTCGTGTCGACGCGAGTGCAGCCTGCGCCCGCCCGGGGAACAGTGTTGGACCCCCAGCTCCTCGCCGTGATGCGCGCAGTGTCGGCGAGCATAGATTCGGCTGCAGCTGTAGACATCGTTGGCGGAGCCGTGTCAGCGCTCCAGCTCCTGGAGGGCTATGTGACGGCACTGCTGGAAGAAGCGGGAGCGGACCAGCTCGCGTGACTGGCTCCCTCCTTACGTATGTGCGCGTGGGCGACGAGCTCGTCAGCGCAAGAGCCTCTGTCCGGCGGAGTAGGCTCTCCATGTCGCTGGGGTTAGTTGTCGGTTGTGTCAGCTTGTGGGCTCTTTGTGCCGTGGTTGTTGTACCCTCGAGTTGTTGAGTCTTGAGCAAAGTATCTGCCGGCCCCTATCGCGCGGCCGCAGGCCGCGCCGCGAGCGTCGGCGGCCGAAGGCCGCCGGCGCGAGCCGCCACCAAGGGAAGGAGAAAAAGAAGAAACCAAACTAAAAACAGAGGAATGAGAGGACAGAGGGCTCTAAATACTAAGGGACATAGGCTCTCTCTCTCTCGCTCTCTCTCTCTCCTCTCTCTCCCGCCACCAAGGGAAGGAGAAAAAGAAGAAACCAAACTAAAAACAGAGGAATGAGAGGACAGAGGGCTCTAAATACTAAGGGACATAGGCGCTCTCTCTCTCTCTCTCTCTCTCTCTCTCTCTCTCTCTCTCTCTCTCTCTCTCTCTCTCTCTCTATTTCTCTCTCTCTCTCTCTCCCTCTCTCTCTCCTTTCTCCCTCCTCCTCATGCCCCCCCCCCACACACACACTTCCCCCTGCTTCTCTCCCAATATCTTTTGTGCAATCTCAGTTCCTATCCACTAGGTTTCGTGCCACCCATTTGAATCCCATGCACCCATTGCATGCAGCAGGTGATAGAAGGAACTAGCTTGGAAGAGAAAAGGTTGAATTGAGTAGGGAGCCAAGAGGCTCTTTTGTACAAAACAAAGGAGCAAGGAAGAGTTCGAAGGGAAGCTCTCCTATTGGCCATAAAGTGGACCAATGGGAGAGGTTTCTTGTAGGGCAAGCAACCACGAAGTGTTGTGCTCTCCGATTGGCCACAATGTGGACCAATGAGAGAGATTGCTTGGAAGGCAAGCAACCACAAATTGTGGTGCTTGGTGATTGGTTGGTTCCTAGGACCAAGGACCATTTGGTTGGAATAGTGCCAACCAAATGTCTAGGACCAAATCCAAACTTGACCAACCCAAATGTGGGGTTGGTCAACCCAACCAACAACCCCCCAATAATTATAATGACTACACCTCCTAATCTAGGCATGCATGTTGTATAGATATATATTTTACAACACAACTGAGTCTCGTTCAACGCTCTCAGGTGTGCCGTTTGCCTCGTTGCACTCATTGCACGTGTTGCGATTCAGAGGTCTCAACAACAACAACTTCACCGGGTCCATTCCGGACTCCATCTCCACCCTCAAGACTCTCGTGGCTGTGTGAGTCTTCAGTGCTTGCAACATGCTCGTCAGCACATGCCCTTCACTTCAACACACGCCCATCAACTCATGCCGTTCTGCACATGTGAATTGGCATGCCATTTTTTTACCTGGAATAGTTTCAGGAGAAAGCTCAGAGTGCCACCCTACTTCCTAGAAAACAGCAGGATTTGCACCTCCCTTCCTGTGCCCCTCCCTTGCCATGGCCATCCCTTCAAAAGGTGCAAAAGTACGGCCTTTTTATTCTTCATCTTTTTTCTGTATTATACGGGGCCATAAAAACTGGTTGTATGATATGGTAAAAAACGGTTGAGAGTGGTGAGTAAGGTCGTTTTTTCAGTCGTGTTTTCGTACATTGAGGGAAACTGTTTTGCACAGATCTGCCATTTCCTGAGAGGTGTGAATTCGACTGTGGGTGGGGGGGGGGGAATATCCTGTGTACACCATGATGTAACACCAACGTTTTGCTGCCCTAAAGCGTAACCTTGGCAACCTTGATCATTTATCTTGCTGGTTCAAATCTGCCTATTGAGAAAATGCCGTGTTTTTCAGAAATTGACCAGAAAGAGAAACGATGGTGTTATACGGTGTTATCCCCGTTTTTTGCATATTGCCCCCTCCCTTGCCATGCCCCTGCAGTGGCCTCAACAACCAGCTGACAGGCTCCATCCCTGCTGCCATCTTCAACATGACTAGTCTAAAACAGCTGTGAGCCTCGAGTGCGCAAAGGGCTTAGGATTGCTCTTTGTTGTACCACACACCTCCACTGCACTGCACAGCTTTCCCCATGGTACCTCCCTGCATCACATGCCTCCCTCGCTGCTCCCCATTATGTCACCACCTCTCTGCAATCTCCCTCTCCGCTCTGATTTTTCGGCAATTTCTGCAATCTCTCCCCTCCACCACCACTGTAGCTATCTGGCCAACAACAATCTGAGTGGCAGTCTGCCAGCTGCCATCATTCAACTGGAGAATCTCGAACAGATGTGACTGCTCTCTCTGCCTGTCCTCTCCTCCTGCCCTTTCTTCCTGCCCCCTCTTCCTGTCGTCTCTGCATACCCCTCCCTCTTTCTTTCTCCCCCTTTTCCTCCCCCTTCTCCCCCCCTTTTCTCTTGCCTCTCTTTCAAACGGTGCAAAAATTGATTATAGCCTCAGTGCACCCTGCAGCTGCTCACACCCTTGGTTCTGCCCCTGCTCCTACCCCTTCTCTCATACCCCGGCCTCTGCCCCTACTTCTGCCCCTTCCTGCTGTGAGAGGGGGCTTACATAGTTAAGGAGTCAGAAAAGGAAGGGGGGGGGTGGTTGGGAGCTTGTTCAAGGTTATTGGCCTCCCCAGTTGGGTTGGCAAAGACTACTGGAGGGTCCAACTTTCCCGGCCAAGTTTATTGGAGGGGCCAATATTCTCTTGGGATTCTTGGGGGTCCCAATAGATGAGAGACCCAACTTTTCAGGGGCAATAATGGCCAGAGTTGGAATGGGAACCCAACCAAATAGGGAACCCAACCCCAAACTGCAGTAATTGCACCTTAGTTATATTGGGATGCTTAGAACTATCCAAGACAAATGATTTGTGTGGGAGTATATAGGGCAATATACTCTAACACCTGCATCCTGCTTATGCTCTGCCTGCCTCCTGCAGCTGGCTGGACAACAACAGCATTGAGGGCCCTCTGCCATCCGCCATCTGCTCGCTGCCCTTGCTGTGATGCATGTGAGTGCCTATGGGGCATGCGAGCAGACGTGGCATATGTGAGTTCTTGTGTCGCATGGGAGTTGTTGGAGTGCACGTGGCTGTGGCTATGCCTGTGGCCAGAGTTTGTACTGCATCGTGTATGTTGGTCGCACAAGGTATCTATCGAGCTGCTCCATCCACATCGCTCAAGTGATCGACCTTGTCTGCAAGTGTCGAAAATGATCTCGTGTTTTCTTCAACTGTTGTCAACTACTTACAGTAGTGTGTTCACACATGAGCGTCTTCCATGTGCAAGTCTTGGTCGAGCCGAATAGCAGTTCTGCCTTTTGGTTGTGGCTGTGGTGCATCTGAGTTGCTGTGATGTACATACTCCATTCATGATTTCAAGAGATGCAGCAAAATGATGTCTGGAAACTAGCCTCATGGTGCATGTAACTCCTTACCTATGCGTGCCTGGGGGGTGTGACACACAGTGCTGCATGGTGCGTGCGTTGGGATGACTTGGCAGCATGGTGAGCAACAACCACCTCTACGGGCCCTTGCCTAAGTGCCTCTTCAACAAGTGTGTCAACCAAATGTAATTCATCCATCCCAGCTAAGGTCACAAGCGTGCATGCACTGCTCACATGCTCAGTATGGCCTGCGTGACAAGAGACAGCTATTCTATATGGTGGTAACGCTCAGGTGGATTCACCCCCCCTTGTTGGGAATTGAAGTACCATTGTTGCACTCTGCCCGGCCCCTGGGCTCCCCCCAGTGATGTGAGCAACAACAGCCTGTATGGGCACATCAACCGCAACTTCAAGAACATGGCGGCAGAGAACGCCCTCATCAACTTGGCTCACAACTAATTCTATGGCGATGCTGTGCTCTTTGCTGCGCGCTCCCAGGTCTGCCCTATGGAGATCACCGAGCCGAACAGCCCGGACCTGGGAAACATGTTTGACTCGTTTGCAGGGATGTGCGGCAATAGCTTGGTGGCAGGGGCGAGAGTGAGTCTGTCTGGCAATTGCCTGACCCTCAGCCCGGATGCGAACTGTGTGTCCAACGCCACCCAGCGCAGTGTGGCAGCCTGCCATGCGTTCTGCAGCATCACGGACAATGGCCCGTGTGACAGCCATGGGGCGTGTGTGCCGTCTGCACCAACCTCCACGTCCAACTTCACGTGCCAGTGTGATGCCGGGTACTCTGCCATCGACGCAGGCAACGGCTCCACATGTGCCACTGGTGAGCCTTTCTTTCTTTGTTATAAAATATGTCTCGGTTTATCAATTGCTTGAAAGAGGCAAAAGGTGTGCATTTGGAACAGCATGCGCAGTAGTACAGGTTGTTTCTAGAGCGAACTTGACTGTTTGGCGGACTGCTATGGGTTGTGCTCCTCTTGTCTGTTCCTCCCCACTATTTTCAATTATCTGGTAGCGATCAAATGGCTGAAATCCCCACTGCATTGTACTATGCTCGTGTAGAATCAAACACCACCAGCCCCAACAGCAGCGAGTCTTCTTCACCAGCAGCAGCATCTGGAGGAGGAGGTGTATCGGTGGGGGTCATCATTGGCATTGCTGTTGCTGCTGTGGTAGTTCTCCTTCTTTTGGTTGCCGTACTGCTCTACTTCAGGCACAAGAAGCAGCAGAAGCCAAAAGGTACGAAGACGAAGCAGTTGCCAAAATGTTGAAGCACACCTTCAAGATTTACACGTTCGTTTTGATGTTCTTCGCAGCATACTGACAAGCAAGCAAGGAGCAAGTTTTTCCCTGCGTGTACCCCCTTTCATTTCACCCCCCACCCCCACCCCGTGGGCAGGCGTCACTACTACCAGCCTAGCAGCCTCTCACTGCACCGAGTTCTCTCTGGCTGAAGTCCTCAAGGCCACCAATAGTTGGTCCAACGAGAATCAGCTTGGCTCGGGTGCCTTTGGTGATGTATACAAGGGCGTGTCTCCCCGCGATGGCACCACAGTGTGGGCTGTGAAGCGAGCCAGATGGATGAATGCTGACTTCCAAAAGGAGGTGGGTCAAACATGTTAGGCATTAGGATAACAGGGCAGTGAGCCGTGCTACATTCCACATTCTTGAGAATGTTAGGTACCGTACTCTTTGGGAATCCTACTAGAATCCATACGACTCACAAAAGTTATTCGCCTCTAGGATTGACCCTTGGAGTTTTACAAACGATGTTCCTTCCAGGTTCTTAGCTAGCCATCGTGCACTTCATCCCGTTCCTCTGTGCTCCATATCTCTCCCTTCAGGTCCAAAACATGGCCGACAAGAACCATCCCAACATTGTGCGCCTGCTCGGGTTTGCCATTGGAGGGGACATGCAGACACGGCCAGAGCAAGCCCTCATCTACGAGTTTGTGTCCAACGGTGACCTTCAGAAGTGGATGGATCCAAGTATGTGTGATACATGTGACACAACTTTTCTTCTCTGCATTTTCATTACGGGAAAGATATCTTGAAACAGCTGTTTTATGTATAAGTTACTTGGCTTACGCATGAAAGATGCTCAATGTGGATTTTTGCAGAGGCAATTGTAGGAATAAGGAGTTGAGGAATCCGGGGAAGCACACAAGCAGAACCACAATGAATATACAGAAGAGGGAATGTGTGTTACGGTGGAGGGAATGCCTTAAGATGGTTTTCACGGTACAAAGGAGGACGAAGCTGAAAAGCACAGGCTAACAACATTTTGTAGTCCAAATCCATCTTTTGTTCCCCAAGTTCTCCTTTTCAGAAGAACTGTCCCACCCACCAAAAAGCTATGGTCGTTAACACGAATATGGCATATCAATGCATCGTCAGCAGCATCCTGTAAATGGCATTAAACTGACAGACAGAATAACACAACAATCTACAAAAGGGCCCTCTAATACAGTAACGCACTGCAGGTGAGACACGATCAGCTGAAAATGCTGCTGAAGGGAGAAAGGAACCTGGAGTCTCATGCACTCTCTGCAACGCAGTGGAATACACAGTAGGGCATGTTAATCTATCATACGCTACTTCAATATTCAATATATTTACAGGATGGTACAATGCCTTCATCCATTCTGTAGGCCACATGGTATATTCTTCCCCACAACTCTCACGTCTCCATTTCTTTTTCCTCTGCGCTCACTACAATTACCCTTCCACCACCAGGCCAAGGTTGCTGACTTTGGGCTAGTGCGGGTGGAAGAGGGCACCACAGTGGGCACTACTCGAATCATGGGAACGCCGGGCTATGTGGATCCAGTTTATACCAAGACGTCTAAGGCAAACACTACCAGCGACGTCTACAGGTGACCTGAAAAATTGTGTGAGACATGTGCAGTGATGAAAAATGCTAGAGAAATTTGGTGTCGAGGCTAGTGAGGTGACGGCCTGGCACATCTCAAAGGTCATTAATTCATCATGTTTCCGTCTTCATATTCTATTGCGGCACGTCAAACTCACTAACATTATCATACTACACTCTCGTTTCTCTTGGGATCTCTCACTTGTGCAGCTTCGGTGTGCTCATGCTTGTGGTTCTCACTAGACGCCCTGCACTCTTGTATTCTGATGGCGGAGGCAGGACACTTCTATCATGGGTATGTACTATAGCCAGGTGCTATGTTGAACTGGAGCCATGGGTGCCATAGCAGGCGTTGAGTTGTATATGCCCGGCTGAAGGCCCCTAGGAGAGGAAGTTGCTCGTCCTGCTCAGAACGGGGTTGAAGTCTGGTAATAGTCTCGTTTGTGCTTATCCAATTCATTTCTACTTTCTCGTTTACCAACCTCTTGCGTTTCCTCAGGTGGAGGAGTGTCTGACATCCGGCACCACAGCGAAACTCAAGGACTCTGACATGGACGCCCCTGACGATGCCGTGGTTCGCGTGGCTCAGCTAGCAGTCAGCTGCACCGTGGAGCGCACTGCAAGCCGCCCAAACATGGCTCACATTGCAAATCATCTGCAGGCCATAAGGGAGGAGGTGGCTGGGAAAGACAAGCTCAGCGCTGCCATTAAGGTGGATGCCCAGGTGCAAAAGATGAAGGATGCTTCTACTGGTGTAGGAAGTTTGGAGGCGGAGCTCCAGTTGATAAGGGAGAGCTATGCCAAAAACCCAGTCTAAACTCGTGAGGAAATGGTCACAGTCGCGGGCTCTGATTGGTTCGCATTCCAACATTCCAGGGGATGTGCTAGCAGAACCCCCGCCAGGCATTTCTGCGAGATGTTTTTGCATGTCCCTATTTGGGGACAGGCGTTTAATCCCAAATTCCGCGACATACATGTTAAAGCCCCTGGCTAAAAACACAAAGCAGGGGCTCACTTGAAATTTGTATTCTTTTCTGGCAGTAATTTTTTCCTGCATTTGGCTGTGAACAAAATATGAACACAACGAAAACCTGAGTCGAGGAGGAACGAGGTCAGCCATTGGCGTGCGGCGCAGGCCCTGTGTCGGCGACGCCCAAAGTTGCCGCACGACTAAACCTCACTCGTCGTCGAGCCTAGCCCAACGACCACGCTGCCGACCAGCCCCTCCCTGGGCATTTTCAAGAGGACCCCCTTTTTGCTTTTGGTGCGGTGTACTCCTAGTCGTTTTCCTTGAACGTACTGTTTTAGGCGGCAGAGTAACGCGATAGGAGCCGTAACTAACGCCTCCGGGCAACATTCCGTCAAGGAATGCGGGTTAGACTCTCGGCACGGTGCCTTCGTCAAACAAGCGTGCGATACAAGGGCCGCGACAAAAAGAAAAATCTAATATTCGCTCAAATCGGATGCAATGCCCACCCTTCCGTCGCGTTACGCTCCCCTCCCCGATCTCCCATCGCGCTCTCGTCCCTCCCCCCTCCACCGTCGCAAAACGTTACTCTCCCCATTTCCCGTCGCGGTACTTCCCAAGCTTCTGTATCGGCGCTTTACGGGCTCCCACTCTCATCCCACTCTAAGCCTCTTCCCTCTCTCCCTCCCTCTCCCTCCCAGCCCCTACCATGCCTCCCCATCAACCCTGCCTCCCATTGCCCCCTGCCTCCCACTCTTCCGCCCCTTCCGTTTTTCCCTGCCTCCCGTTCTTCCCTGCCTCCCGTTCTTCCCTGCCGCCCGTTCCTCCCTGCCGCCCGTTCCTCCCTGCCGCCCGTTCCTCCCTGCTGCCCGTTCTTCCCTGCCGCCCGTTTTTCCCTGCCGCCCGTTCTTCCCTGCCGCCCGTTCTTCCCTGCCGTCCGTTCTTCCCTGCCTCCCGTTTTCCCTGCCACCCGTTCTTCCCTGCCGCCCGTTCTTCCCTGCCTCGCGTTCTTCCCTGCCACCCGTTCTTCCCTGCCGCCCGTTCTTCCCTGCCGTCATTCTTCCCTGCCTCTTGCTCTTCCCTGCCTCTCGTTCTTCCCTGCCTCTCGTTCTTCCATGCTTCCTGATTTTCCCTGCCTCCCATCCCGGTCTTCCCTGTCTCCCTTTCCAATCCCTTTATGTGCGTGCAGGCCCTCCGCCTCCCTTCTTCAAGCGCAGCCCACCACATGCCCACGGTCGTCTTTGTCTTTATATTAGGTTGGGGGAAATGGTTTACTGGGCCAGTTGTTGGCTACAGTGGCTAAACCCATAGCCTGCACTCTTGCGTGGTTGTATACATGTGTGTGTGTGTGTGTGTGTGTGTGTGTGTGTGTGTGTGTGTGTGTGTGTGTGTGTGTGTGTGTGCGTGCGTGCGTGCGTGCGTGCGTGCGTGCGTGTGTGCGTGCGTGCGTGCGTGCGTGCGCCTGTGCGTGTGCGTGTGCGTGTGCGTGTGCGTGTGTGTATATATATATATATATCAAGTTAGGATTTGACGTAATGTGCCTTCATTGAAATGTCCCACGCAAGGCTATTCTGGAAAAGAAAAACCATTCTTTGATTTCTCACTGCATTATGAATATGCAATGTCAAGTCACATGTACACCATTTTCCCCGCAGTCCAACGGTATTGCGTCAGGGGGTGTTTCGAAGCCTGGAGTCCGGTTTTCAGCCACTGATCTCGCATCTTAGTGAGGTACAGTTTAGGTGCATCATCGTGTGACGTCTCGGCGAAACCATGCATTTCACCAGTGCTCTGAACACGCCAGTGTTCCACGTCGCCTGTGGTTTCACGGATGGATCGCTGGAGTTTGTCGCAATCGATTTCGCTCGCATTTTCCATGTTTTCCGACGTTTCACTCAACCCTGCTGCCCCTAAATTGCATTTCCGCTCACTTCATGCGTTTCAAAATATTACAACGGTGCCCCTACTTCAAGGGGGACCCTCTTGAAACCCCCCTTTGTAATTTTAGACTCGGGCTTTAATGCATTAATGTTTCTACACAAACAACTTTATGGCCCAAGGGCTATACTTTAATTTGATTGCAGTTGCATGTGACCTTTTCAAGGTTGTTTCTAGTGCATATGTGCTTCTATCCATGAGATCATGGTATAGCTTTTATTCAATTATAGGCCCCACTTCTTTTTTTTCAGAATGTGTACCTTATATTTTTTTGTGGAGACCTACATCAGAACGAAATAAAGAGTTCATGTGATCGCATGATTTCTCGCTTTGTGCAAACCAGAATCGCAATTTCCCCCCTCTGCCGCGTTATGACAGCACGATTCGTGTCAAAAACACCCTTCTCTAGCCTGGCACAGTGTCGACTGGATTTTTAGCGCGATTGACCTCTGAATCCCCGGGAAAAGGTTTCCTTTCCTGTTGCACGAAACAAACCAAAAGCTGCAATTTTATGTATAACTAAATTTGCATAAACGTAATCCCTTAAAACCCCATGGCAAAATAGCCGAGGGGGGTTCCACCTTGAAAACATTGAAAAAAACAAAAAAACAAAAAAACAAAAACAAAAACAAAAAAAACTAGGTCCCTTTTTTGGATGACGAGACGAGACGTCTGGTCCAGGCTCCCAAATTGCAGCCTTTTCACGCTGATTCTGCCTTTTTCCAGGGTTTTTGTTTTTTGTCTGCTGATTGGAAAGCCTTTTTTTTGTTACCTTAGGCTGATTTTTCAGAGAAGTTATATGTACATACGCTGAATTTTCAGCCTCCTTTTGCAAGTGTATGCTGACGTCTCAGCCTTCTATCAGGGGGGTATGCTGTTTTTTGCAATACCGTGATTTTGGGGGAGTGGGCAATACTTGCGCTGGTACCCCTATCAACGCCGTCAATCACGCAAAGATTCCTCTGCGTTGGCGCAGGTCGGTCAATACTACCAAGTTAAACAGCTGCGCCATTGGAAACGCACAAATACCTGGAGCAGCGGATTGGTACTTGACCGAAATCCTGCTGCACTAGCCAATCACATGGGGTGTTTCATGTCCCAGCCTTGACAAGCCATGCACCGCGCCCAAGCTGACGCTGTAGTGCCCCCTCCCCGACCCCCCCCCCCCCCCCGCCCACCCCCCCAACCCACCCCCCCCCCCCCCCACGAATGTTCGACCACTGCATGCGCATCCCCGAGGCCGAGCCGCACTTCTCCATCCGTTTATTATCGCTGGGCAAAAGTGCCCACCTCATGCTTGGTAGAGTCGGTTTTGTTGACGCCTGTGAGTAGCCCCTCAGTGGTTATCTCTCTCCATTTTCGCCACACCATGCTCCCCACTCGACATGATGGCCGACTCGGACGCTGAGGACGACGTGGATGTAGACAAGGCAGAGGAGGAGTATTGGTGCACCGAAAAAACTTGCACCTCAAGCACTGGCCTAGACTTCCTCCTGCCGACCCATCCTATCTCTACAGAGAAGCATTGCGCCAATGCGCCCTCCACTGAAGCTGTGGCGTCTGTTCCGGATGCCATGGACGTTCTAACCGTAGACCTCACTGCTGAGCCGCGTGAAAGTGCCCCAGTCGTTGGCACATCTCCGACTCCGGCGCCTGCCTAACTTCTCAAGCGCTATAAGCAGATCGCTCTGCCATTCGCTTCAATGACCACGTGCCAGCGACATGCACCCTCGCCTAGCTCCACAGCACCTGAACCAGCTGTAGATTCGTCTCACGGCAAGTCTTGTCGACAGCAGCCCTTGAGTAACGACGAGATCTATGCCGAGGCTTAAGAGCGTTTTAAGGCTCGTTGGTCAAACCGTTTTCCATGGCTGATGCTACTGAAAACTGACGACGGGCTGCCTGCCTTTAAGTGCAGCATGTGCTCAGTGCATGCAGGACCAGCAGGACGGACCGGCAACGCTAGGAAGGGTGCTACCGACGTGCAGATTCAAGCATTCGAGAAGCACGCCGGCATGCAGAAGGACCGCTTTGCCACGAGCAAGCAGAACAACCTGCTTCAGCTGGCCAACCAGCCGAGAATTGACCAGCATCCCGCCGCTGCCGACAAGGAGAAGGAGGGAGTCATCGCGCTGCTCGACTCCCTCTATTTCGCCAGCAATTGTAACGAACCCATGGAAACATGGGTTCGTTTGGTGTGCTATCTCTCCGAACGCGGGTTCAAGGGCTTCCCAAAGGCGGCGTACGGCACGTACTAAAACTGGTAAGCGGGTTTTACGAACGATAAATTGCTTATAGGCTCCATAAGTGCATCGAATTTCTTTCTAATATGTGTGTGGATAGTCATGTTTCAGGTACGGCTTTGGCGAGCTCACTCGGGCAAACGTGTGCTGGTTGCAAAAGACCAAACTCCAACACCTCTTGACAAGCCCATTCATCTGCCTTAGCCTCGACGAAAGCACCGATCGATGCCAGGGCAAGCATGTGATCGTTTCGCAACGTTCATCCAGGAGAACAGTGTCTTCAACAAATACCTGTGCCCGCTGACTGTGGGTCAAGCCGATGCTGCGCCACTGCTCGCCCTCCTGCTGTCGCACCTGCAAGCGATTGGAGTCGACCTGAATCGCGTGTCCGGCATCAGTACCAACGGCGCGGCGGTCATGATGGGGGTTCGCTCAGGACTTGTTGCACGACTGCACCTTCGCGTCCCGCACCTGGTCTTATGCTACTGCGCACAGGTTGGTCCCTTCCCTACCCCATGTGTTTTTTTTATCCTTCATCTATGCCTCGGTAGACTCTCCGCTAATGACTATCTGTGTTTCCTTTCCCTACTGTTTGTGTCATTTCTCTGCCAGGGAGGCGTTGGCTGTAAAGGCAGCAGCAGAGGACATCCCGGACTTGGCCATGGTCGACAACCTGATCAGGGAGGTGGCAGAGCTTCTTCGGTGCTCCGGACCCTGGCACCAGCGATTCCTCGACCTACAGGACATCTTCACTTCAACCAACCTGGAGTTGCAAGGCATATACAACATCAGTTGGCTGAGCGGCAGAGACGCTGTGATTCGGCTGGTCGAAGTCCTGCCGGTGGCCGTGGTCATGCATCAGGAGTACGGCGTCAAGTTGTATCGTCCCGTGACAAGCTACCGCTTCTGGATTCTCCTCATGTTCTTGGCTGACGTCCTAGAGTAGCTGAACATCCTCAGCCGAGTCTTCCAGCGGCGCGAGGTGAAGTTTTAAAGCTTGACGTGATCAAGTTTTGCCGTGGGTTTCATTTTCATTGATGTCCAGGATTTTCTATTATCCACTAATCCACTCATTGCACTGTTTCCTGTTTCCACCTCCATTACTACAGCTCAACTACACCACCGTGCACACCCAGATTGTCAGCATCACCACCCTGCTGGAGAGCCGCTATGTGGACTGCTGTGATGGTTTCGTTGGTGGGCCGAACGACCGCCTCACTCGATTCCTCGAGAAGCATGGTCCCGAGAAGTCGCGCCTGATCACTGTGGAAGGCGTCGACTCCGATTGACGGCCGACACGCTTCACCTTCAAATTGCACAAGGAGCCGCTTGAGGACTACCCCGGGGCATGTGACCATGACGGCAGTGTGGTTGCGTGCATGGTGCTGGCAGAGGGGCTCGTCCACAAACTCGAGGAGAGGCTAGGCGACCTGCAGTAGTTGTTCGGGGTGCGCCTCTTCTGCGTTGACACGTGGCCTCTCAACCCAGAGGTTGACAAGATTCGGATAGCTGTCTTATGACTGCTGCTATGGTTTGCCCATTAATCTACTCTGCGTCTTGATTTGCTTGTCTTCCTGAGCAGGCATTGACAAGCGCAAGGCACAGCAAGTGCTGCGCACCTTTGACCTTGTCCTGGCAGCTCTCCCGAAGGCTGACAGGAAGTTCCAGGCTGGGCTAACTGCCATGCTCCAGACGCAAGAGGTCGTCGAAGCGGCAGAAGCAGCGGGTGGTCGGGTGCGGACGGCGGCACACAGTGCCACGAAGGGGCCCGGTCTAGAGCTGGTACTAGCAGCCCCCAGCACCGAAGCCACCGGTAGTCGCCGAGCTGCGAGGACCGCCACCGCAACCACTCCCTCCAGGGGCTCCCGGCCACCCCGGTGGGAGGCGGGCCCAGGGCTGCTACTGCTGCGGTTGCTGTGGCTGCTGCTGCTCCTGCGGCTGCTGCTGCTATTGCTGCTATTGCTGTGGCTGCTGCTGCGATTGCTGTTGCTCAAGGTCGCCTGCCCCAGCCCCCTCGTCAGAACCACTCTCGCCGCCACCACCACCACGCCCTCCCTTGGGGCCGCGACGACCCCGTCGATGTTGCTGCTGCTGTGGAGAGGCCGCCGCTGCGGTCTTAGCGACAGGAGCAGAAGTAGCGACCGTAGCGGAAA